GCTTAAATCAAAGCGCCTTTCCTACAAAACATAAACACAAATAAACGCACAAAAAATGAAATATTAACACGAAATAGTGCAAAATAAAACCACCTGGCAACAGATCACGACGGCCCCGCCAGCAGCCCGCCGAGCAGCCCTCCGGACATATTCACCAGGTGTCCGGGCCCCGTTTTAGAGATGTCACGGGGGGCAGGTCAGGGTTGTGCTCGACTCAAAAAAATTTGCCGACTCGACTCATCATTCAACTTCAGAAAGCCCTGACTCAACTCTGACTCAAACAAGGAGCTGATTTCTTCCCTTGACTCAACTCATGACTCAAGCGGCTCAATGAAAATATGAGTTGACTCAAACTTGACTCAAATTTTTTGTTGAGTCAAGTGAGTTGACTCAAAATTGACTCAGATAAAAAAGTTGTTGAGCGGGGGGGGGGGGTGAAAAAAATCCTGCAGCAAGGCCAAGCCTAAGTTGTTAAGCAGGGGGAGAATGAAAAGCTTTTGTAGATTGTTTCTAGAAAGATATGTCAGCTGACTCATATTCCTAAATGTTTTTGACTCAACTAAATGTCAAAAGTTATTTTAATGACTCAACTCTGACTCAACTCAACGCTTTAATATTTTTGTCCGACTCAACTCTGACTCAACTCAACAGCTCAACATTTTATCCGACTCGACTCAAATCTGACTCATTTGAGTCAGAGTTGAGTCAAATTTCTGACTCGACTCATGAGTCAAGCACAACCCTGGTGCAGGTACCCGCTCCCCCCCCCCCCGTCTGTGCGAAGTTTGCGCGGACGCCCGACGGTGCGCGGTGACGCTCGTGCTCACACAGCACGCGGCCATCTGCAGTGCTGTAGTCAGAACTGTATGCATGCCCCGGCTGTCTTTTTTTTACATGCACTGTATCGTCATGTAGGAACTGTGCGGTGCCAGTTCACTATCGAGGCGGGCCGGGAGTTGGGAGTCTGGTGGCCGTCGGACCGCGACTCGACTGACTGGCGGCGAGGCGGCCGACAGCTGGTCGGCTGCCGACCGGGCCCGTATCGGTGGGCGCGCCGATCGATGCCAGCTGCGCCTGACGAGGCCGCGGGGGGGGGGGGCTGGGCAGGCCACGGTACGTCCCCCTGGGCGATATATTTGGCTCCACGGTCTGCTGGGCAACACTTAACCCGCGTGTGACTGGGGTATTTTCCATAACGCGGATGAGGGGGAGGTTCTACAATCTACAGCCCTGAGCCCACCCCCTCCTATCTCCGAAACTACTGGGCCGGTTGTCGAAATTCGAACGGCGGCTGATAGCCCTGAAAACTTTGCTGTCGAGCGAAACCAAATTTCATTGACCTCGAGGTCAACGATGACGTCAGAGGTCAGGTGAAAGTAAAAATTATCAATATTTTGGGTTTTTCACAATTAACCCCGACCCGTTAAGGGGCCCAAAGGCCGGCCGCCCTGTGGTTTTTCGCAGATAACTCAGAAACGGCTGCGAATTTTGACTTGAAACTTTCAGTACCTCTCCGGACATTAATTTTACACAACTCCTGAAAAAATTAGGTCCCAGGTCATCTCAGCTCACGAGCTATAGATGTCAAACTGAGGTCATGTTCGGCGATTGTTCGTCGAAAAAGTTGTTCACGGAGAAAAATCGTAGAAGATCAGTTTCAACTTAGCGACTCAAAAAATGAACCGCAGGTATAAAAAACATGGCAAACAAAATGGCTATCTGGAAATTTCCAAAGTGTAAAAATCCCTAGATCTAGGGATTTTCTTAGTCAAAATTTAGATTTCTTGACATATTTTTGAAATTTGGGGAAGTCCTCAAAACCGGAATATATGTCAGAGAACCACTTACGGGCCTTACAAATACACATGCCAAAAATTAACAAAATATCTAAAACTGACAGAGATATAGCCATTTGAATGACTGAAAAGGTAGAGACTGCTCTTTTGACGTCACAATATTTTCGGTATTTGTCCTTGAAATCAGTCAGGAGTAATATTTATTATACTTTTCAACCTCTTCCTGACTGAATATGATCCTTTGCGTGAGTAAAGTCACTTACGTAAAAAATTGTTTATTGTTGTAAACAGGTAGGTACAATTTGACCTTATTTAACCTTCCTGTGACGTCATAGGCCCAAGAAAAATGGCCAAGGAGGTTTCTGTGGCTGTATATATATGACATGTTTTCATAACGACTCGAATATTCATAATTTAACATGCATTTCCTTACCATTCACGAAAGTGTTTTCTGATTGGTCGAGGTGACCTCTGTTGTGACATCACAGGTCATCATCCACTCAGGTGACGATCCACATGCCAGATCTTTCATATACCTACATCATATCCGGACTCATTTGAAAACTTAAATTTTATTTTTATGACCGACTTCTTGTCATTGTAAATTGGACTGATTTGACTTTGTTTGACCTCCCTGTGACGTCAAAGGTCAAATATCAAAGTCATCGATATCCTATCTTGTGCATCTCGATGAGCTCTTTCGAATGCCGTTTGATTTTTTCCGCTCCGGCTATTGGTTCTGGAGATACGACGGGGCCCTTTGCCCCCCCCCCCCAACAGGACGTGGAACCCACCAGACCCCAACGGCGCGGGTTAACCGGCGCCCCACTGCACTGGGGTCTGCGTATAACGCGCCCTAGGGGAAGCCGGGGGAAGCCCGGCATAGTAAGCTCTTTTTCATTTTTATTACATACCTTGCGTGCTGTATACGATGTTGATATCCTGTTAGCTAGATGAGTTAACCCTCGCCCGCACATGGGGGGGGGGGGTTGCCACCCCCGCCCCAGGTAGTCTTTCTGCTCTGCACTCAGCATTTTTAGAGCTAGAAGGCTGATTTTTCGTATAGATGCTCCTCTATTCTTTCTTGATGTCCACTGAAAATTTCAAGCTTCTGTAATTTTTGGTTTCGGAGATATAACCTTGTTTTTCAGGTCATGTCATGACCCAAATGGCCAATTCTCAACATCTTGCGTTAGCTTTGGGCCTTGTGAGCTTTTGACACCTTGATTTCGGCCTTTTTTGCCAGTCTTACCTCCCACCTATCATGGAACATGTTGTTCGACGATATACAGATGTCAAGGTCAGGGTCAAGGTCAACCTAGGTCATCTAAGATAATTGCGTTTTAGGCGAGCTGAATTTACTTTTTGTGAAGTTTTTTGACTGCATTTTTTTTTTGTAAAAGCCTCTCAGATCATGATTTCATGTAATATGGACACATAAACAATCGGTGCACACATCAGTATACACACAGACACACACAGACATACAAACACATATCATTGACCTTGACCTAACTTGACCTGAAATGACCTCAGCAGCAAAAACCTGGTCGGGTAGTGTGACAAAGAGGTTCTAGCTGGCTTGGCACCAGAAAACGGCATCATCATCGGTATATGATAAGCAGTGCACTTGATATCCAACGGTGACCCAAAACAGCAACATTTTTTAGTTTGACCTGACCTGGAAGGTCAATGACTGACCTCAGACCTGAGAAGGTAAAACTGGGTATCATTGGATTCATCTCTTCCCAAAGAATCTTTTTGGTCTTTACCGCTAAGCTCTATCTCCAACAGGAACGAAATGGCGCGGGGGGGACCCCCCATGTGCGTTCTAGGATGGGAAAATGGCATGTGCGGGCGAGGGTTAATTGACCGTGTTTTCCCAAAAACTCGGCTTTGTGGAAATAGTATAAAGTTGCGAAATTCAAGTTTTAAAAAAGTATTGATTTCTCAGGGGTAAGCCCGGCATAGGGTTAGCGCCGGCCACCTCTTCAGCGCTTTACAACGAGTTGATGAAACCATTATGTGTCTTCCAAATATTGACGGAAAGTGAAATATTAACCCGCGCCCCACTGGGGTCTGCGTATAACACGCCCTACTGGGGGGGGGGGGCTATTCATAGCCCCCCCCCCCCAACTCCGAAACCACTGGGCCGATCGTCAAAATTCAAACGGCGTCTGATAGCCCCGGAAAAACTGTTGAGCGAAACCTAATTTCATTGACCTCGAGTTGAAATTTTGTCACAAGGTGTCAAATTGATGCAGCCGAAGGTACTGAAAGTTTGGCGTCGATACGTCAAGCGGTTTGGAAGTTATTGCAGAAAAACGGGAGGGGGGCTACAAATAGCCCCCCCCCCTCCAGTGGGGCGCGGGTTAAGGTACTGTTTAGCTCTGGACATCTTAGACAACTTCATTGTTTGTCAGGTTATCTGCAAAAACGTAGTTTCATCCTAGTTGACCTAAAGTTACATGGCCGTTCTTGTAGCATACCTACAAACATAAACTTAGTCACATATTGATATAAACTGATAGTGTAACCCAAAACCGTTAAAATGGAGCGGATATCTCCCATATTTTTACAGCAAAAACCAGACAAGCAATCATCCTTCATCCATAACTGATAGCTATGGGCACTGGAATAGAGCGACAAGCTGAAGAGGCTTTGTCTATGATAACATGCTTATTTTCGAGGTTTATCTTTGGGCGAGGTCTAAACCAAACCTACTCAGTACCTATTATTTCATGGAAAACAGTGGTTTAGTGGCATTGCTCTCGGTTAGGGGTAAGCTCGGCCATTCGCCCGGGGTTACCCCAATGTGCTAATTTTATTTTAGAACAGCAATGTTCGAAAAAAAATATAACTTAAGCCAGCCTGCCTCGTCACCCCTCACTACAAACACTTAAACGGTCCTTTCATAACAGAGTATCGTCAAAAACACCAGGTAACTAGGCATAGGTACTATGTCGGAAGAATCAATGTACGAAAGCCGCTCAGGCCCGGCTCGTATTATTTTGTCGTAAATGTTGCCTAAAAATAAATAAGTTTTTCGCCACCGTGGCGACTGGGAGAGTTTTTATTCTAATATCCTGACAAGGGCTCAACGGAAGGTAGCATATTTGCTATGTAACCAGTAACCACAAATTTGTGCCTTTGTGATTGGCTCTGGTGCTAGGTGTCGCTGACAGTGTGCGTCCGCGCCTGCAGCCGCGCTGCTGTACCGCGTGTTCCGCAGTGAGCGGAAGCGTAAGCTGAAGCTGGCGCACGCGCTGCTGAACCTGACGTCGCTGCTGCTGGTGCTGATCGGCCTGAAGGCGGTGTTCGACTCGCACGACCTGGCCTCGCCGCCGATCCCCAACCTCTACTCGCTGCACTCGTGGGTCGGCCTCTGCGCTGTGCTCCTGTTCGCCATGCAGGTCAGTTGACGGGTGGGCGGCCAGGGAGCGGCACCGGGCTGACGATATTGCCGCCGGGTGCCGTCACGTACGGGGACCAGGAATAGCTGCTCAGAGAACGCGGGCCGGTGATGTTCGTGTGCGTGCGGCCAGGCTGATCATCTGTCAGGGAGCTGATACCCTGTCGCCCGCTTTTCAATGCTTAGTGCTCTGACTCGGTCCCGTGCTAGTCTAGATTTATTTACCTACTTGGCCTTCTGACCCGAATCCATGTCATTACTAGTCTGTAAACAGTACCCTGACCGAGTCCCGTATCGCCTACCAGTCTACGTTCGTGCTTAGCCGTCCCGTGTGGCCCGCAGTGGATTGTCGGCTTCGTCTCGTTCCTGGCGCCGGGCCTGAGCGGCTCCCTGCGGGCTCGCTACCTGCCCTGGCACCAGTTCTTCGGCATGGCCATCTTCGTCACTGCTTGCGGCGCCGCCATCATGGGGCTGATGGAGAAGGCATTCTTCGCGCTGTGAGTGGGGCTGGTGGCCAGCGAAACTACCTCTGCCTGCCGTTCAGTGCCGTCCCTTTCATCCCAGGCCGTCTGCCTTTCAGTACCGCCCAAACATCTGTTTGACTTTCAGTGCCGTAACGCGGTATAGTGTTTGGGTTATGGCCTTATTAGTCTTTTTTTTTTAAATTCTGTTTGAATGGTTGAATGGGTGGCTGTGGGCCCGGGTACCCCGGTTATCAGTGCTTGTTGCGAATGACACCACGGACCCGCCACCCGACCACCCCCGCGCTCGGTTCACCGGTGATAATTTGAATCGAAAGGTTATCGTGCCGCAGGTAGACGGCGGGTGTAGCGTGGTCTCAAACGACGTGGAGATTCCCGGCCGCGAACTCGCTGCTCCCGAGTTAGCCTGATCCACTAGGCCACGGGGAGGACTTGGCTTAAATCAGGTTCAAAAGTTGTCGCCCCTCACAAATGCTCACTCTTGCCCCTGCAGTGCTGCAAGCATTTTCAGCCCATACCGTATTTGATCCAGGCTGATGGTGTTGCATGCGATTGCTATACCTAAAAGCTGTACGGTTTCAGCTCTCTGTCTAGGTCATATGCTTCCGTACCAAGACGGAACTGCTTACTGCACCTCTCGGTGGGAGTCGAGACCCACACACCCACAGTACACCACCCTGCCCCGGAGTCGAGACCCACAGTACACCACCCTGTCCCCGGAGTCGAGACCCACAGTACTCCACCCTGCAACCGGAGTCGAGACCCACAGTACACCGCCCTGCCCCCCGGAGTCGAGACCCACACACCCACAGTACACCACCCTTCCCCCCCGGAGTCGAGACCCACAGTACACCACCCTGCCCCCCGACCCACACACCCACGATTCACATCTGTACCCCCGGAGCCGGGACCTTGTGACGGTACTCTGAAGCGTCGCGCTCGCCGCAGGAACCCCAAGAACAATGAGCAGCCGTATTCGAAGCTGCCGCCGGAGGCGTACCTGATCAACTTCGTGGGCCTGCTGCTGGCCGTGTTCTGCTGTCTGGTGGTGTTCCTGCTGTCCCACGGCGGGTACCGGCGGCCGCCGCAGCCCGAGGACGAGATGCTGCTCCGCGACACTGTCATCGACTAGAGCCGGCACCGGACCCCAGCTGGAGGGCATACGGAGGCCAGGACGCCATGACGGGTGGAAGAGGAGGGGAACGGACAGCTGCCTCCGGAGGCCGGGACAGTCACACCCACAGCTCACAAGTCAGGTCGGGTCGGAGGAGGGCGTCACAGGCGCTGAACGGTAAGGAGCGGGCCAGGCACCTGCCGCTGGGCGGCACAGTCGTCCGTGGGCCCGCGTGACCGAGGCTGCGTGGCGGTCTGGTCAGGCGAGCTCACTGGACAGGGAGGGGCGCCGGTACCCGTCGCGGGGTGTCTGGAGAAGGAGAGCGGCGCTGCGCGCGCCGGCAGCGGCAGGTGTCGGACGTCCCGGCAGCGCGGACCGGCCCGATTTTCGGCCGAGGCTCAGTCTAATGACGACCGCGGTGGGTCCACATGTGCTGTTCCGGCTCTCTGGAACATGCTGTCCCGGCTCCCCATGCTCTCTTGGTGCCCCTCCGCAGCAGCGCGGGTATGTATTAGTGTCGTGACCGTAGTTGTATTGGTGTTGTGCAATGATATATATCACTGATATTCGCTATTTTTGGGTTGTGACCTGTTGCGTGACAGCCAGTACTATGCTTTTTTATCTACGTTTGAACATACGCGGAGATGTATCTATATCCCTATGGTAATTTGTACTACAAGAAACGCACACGTTTGTAAAAGACTGTTGTCTCGCATCAAAATTGGCTGTGTGCTTAGCTTCGTCCGCTGCGTCTTTACTGCAATTTGTGATCGACGTCTTGTCACTCCCGATAGTGGTGGCAATGTTGTTGTGTTACGTTTTGGTAACTTTTACGGGGAGGCTGTTATTTTGCATATCTCAGGCATAATGGCTGAGTGAGTAGCGGGGTTACGTTACCAAGTAAATAACATCTGGGAGGCGCATTGGCTGTCTGTGGATCTGTCCATGACCTAGCTTAGTTGTTTCATGCAAAATTATGGACGTGAGCAATTATCTGTCTGTATTCGTTAACCTCGAACATTCATAGTATATTCGCAGCATACTACGTATATGTAGTATAACCGATGTAGTCAGACTAGCAGAATATGCAGATGCTTCCCATTTGACCCTCGCTCTTTAGCCTCCGCGATATGATAGCTGTACCGTTCTGCGGGGTACCGATCGTGCTGTGCAACTGTACCGTACCGTACCGTGCCGCACCTACCAGCCGCCGAGCTGCGGCAGCTGCTGTCCGCGGCGGCGGCGGCGTGGTGCTGTCCGCGGCGGCGTGGCGCTGTTGGCCGGTCACGTGGCTACTCGAACAGCTGCCGTGGCTCGCGAGGCGGCCTGCGTTGGAACGTGTATCCCGGTATTTATGTTTCCGAGAGACGCTTTGTCGTTAATTTGCACTTTAACTGCAAAGACTATTGGATGCGCTGAACCTTGGCCGCACTGAACCTTGTCTGAGTCATTTCATCGGTAACTGAAGCACTGTCTGAATCGCCCCTGTGCTGTGCGCTGGTTGTCTCTGCGTCCTCCTACCGGGCATATGCGTCGTTAGCGACATATTATGGACTACAGCTGGCCGGCGAGACCGCTGAGCCGCGGTTCGGTGTTGGGCGTTACCGGCCCAGCGCGTCCACGATCTGTCTCTCCACCGGCCACGGTGTTGACTGTTGACTGTGTAAGATGCTTCGTGCATGCTACCCAAACCCGTGTACCGTTGTCATCGGTGTGTGCACAATATAACTGTAAGGTGGGCAAACAAAATATTTCCTCTGGGGTATATTCTTGCGGCGGCTGGTTGCTTGACGGTGACAACTCGGTAACGCAACGAACAGTGCACTGACGCGCTCGGCAGCCTCGACGGTAGCATTCTGAGATGGGCGGATCAAAACAAAACGAAATCGGCTCGGTGAAAAAAATGGAAGCGTTACGTCACAACCTAATTGTGAAGGATTCAGGAAAAGGGCGGGCAAATAAAGGAAAGTTTTACTGGGGTAGGAAAGGTAGGTTACATTAGTATACGCACGGGTGAAGGTAAAAAAAGGAACAAGACCACGAATTCATAACATTCTCCCCACTCGAAGTTCTATGAACTTCGAAAACCGGTTACAATTGCACACGGTAAAACAGGCACTTCAAACACAACAAAACACAACACTTCACTGCGAGCGGCGCGCTAACAGTCACCATCGCAGGCCTACTCGCCGGCGGCCTCCAGCGCGTAGAGTTTGTTGACAGGGCGCCGCGTGGTCCTGCCGCGCAGCACTATCACCGCGGCGCGAGCCTGCCCGTCCGGCCCACGCAGCAGCTCGGCGACGCGGGCCAGCGGCCACCCGCCGCGCGGCCCCTCGTCTCGCACCAGGACGACGTCGCCGACGCCGGGGACACGACTCGGCCGGCCGCGCGGAGAGGTGCTCCAGCACCGCAGGGCACTCAGGTACTCAGATATCCATCGCCGGTTGAGGTGGTCGCACACTCGCCTCCGATGTCTCCAGGCCCTGGTGATTGGAGACTCGTTCAGAGATGGACAGAGAACCCCATTGATAGCAGTAACACCGAACAAGAAGTGGGCGGGTGTGAGAACATTCTCTCCGTCATCCTGAGTGAGAGGTCGCAAATTGATCGCAAAAGCCAGCTCATATAGAGTAACCGACAGCTCCTCGAAGCTGAGATGGCACAGGTGCAGTGTTATTCTCAGAGCCTTCTTGGTAACTCCTACAAGTCGTTCCCAATATCCCCCCCACCACGGGGCCGATTCGGGGATAAACTTCCACGTCACAGAGTGGGGAAGGTGACCGGTCAGCGCGTGAAAGGTGCGAGCGTTATCGCTGTAGACCAGAATGGGGGTGCCTCGCAGTGCAAAGAAGCGCCTTAATGCAATGATGAGGTCAGACGACGCTTGAGAGCGGACGAGTTCTAGGTGTACCGCTCGTGAGGTGGCACAGGTGATTAACAAAATCCATACCTTCTTCTGGTGCCCGTCCACATACAGTGGCCCCATGAAGTCAACTCCCACTTTGGAGAACGGTCGTGCAGGCTGGGTCCTGAACGTCGGCAGCGCACCCTCCGGCGATCGGTACGGCAGGCCGCGGTATCTCCGGCATCGGGTGCAGGTGTCGACGACACGGCGAACAGCTCGCCGCCTCACCATGTACTCTGCGGCAGCTACAGCGAGCGTCACGCGGGTGCCCTGGTGGAAACACCTCCGATGAGCGTCATCAATCACCAGGGTGGTTACGTGCGCGAACTCTGGTAAAATGATAACAGGGGCTTCGTTTGTGCGCGGCACCGACTCTAGGATTCCGTCCAGGCTCAGCTGGGGGGCGAAGCTTTGCGAGGCACGATCTTACCGGGAGAGGTTGGCAAGCGCGGAGAGCCTCGAGCTCCAATCCGAAGTGCCTCTCTTGCGCTTCCCCGATTAGCAGCCGCAGTGCGCGCCTCCTCTCTTCGGTGGTCAGCTGCGAAGAATCCTCTCTCTCCGCTCGGGGTCTGCGGGCATTGTCAACGAACCTCAATACCCAGGCGTAGCGGTTCACCGCCTGCTTCAACGACGAACATTCAGTCACATCGAACAGGGATACGGTCGGCGGCCGCTCTGAGTCCCGACTCACAGTGCAGGCCTCCACACGTCTCGACTCACCAGTCTTGGTCGGCTTCAGCTCCTGAATCGCGTCAGCGCTGGGCTCAGCTGGAACAGGCAACACATCAACAGTGTCCACGCCATCAACGATAAACTTCGGTCCGTGCCACCACATGGCACTCTTCGCCAGTGACTCGAGAGACATACCTCTTGTGCCGAGGTCCGCTGGGTTCTCCTCACCCCTGACGTGTCGCCACTGGTCCGCGCGCGAGAGCTGGAGGATGGCCGAGACGCGATTCTCCACGAAGAGCTTCCGTGGTCTCCCACAGGAGATCCAGTAGATGACGTCCATAGAGTCTGTCCAAAAGTACACTGTAGGAGACGACATGTTCAACGACTTCCTAACGAAATCCATCAAACGCGCCCCAATCAAGGCCCCCATCAGCTCCAGGCGGGGGATGGTCAGCTGGGTGGAGAGGGGGGCGAGTCGGCTCCGGGCGATCAGGAGCTTCGCCTCCCCACCCTGCACAGCATACACAGCGGCACAGAAGGCGACGGCTGAGGCATCACAGAACACGTGATACGTCGCTTCCTCCGATAAGGTAATGGTACACGGTCGGGGAAACCATATCAGCTGACGGGCTGAGGCCCACCAGGCTCTGACCTCTGCCTGAAGTGCTTCCGGCAGCCTCTCCTCCCACACGCCGGGCGGCATAGTCCTCCAAGTCTCCTGGAAGAGGACCTTTCCACGAATGATCCATGGCACGAGTACACCAAGCGGGTCAAACGGTCGTGATAAAGCAGACAGCAGCTGACTTTTGGTTACAGGACAGGTCGACTCTGGGACAACCACAGCGAGCTCATCACGAGTGGTGCTCCACATCAGACCCAGGACAGGCGCATCCTCACACACGTCCCCGGTCACTCGCGTCTTGTGCAGAGACATTCCAGCCTCCTGGAATATCACGCGAGTCTTCTCCATCGCTCTGCAGGCTTCATCCTTGCTAGAGAAGGTGAGACATATGTCATCCATATACAGACCGGAGCGCACCTTATCGCACAGGTCCTGCTCCGCGCTCTGGTACCTGAGGTGGGTGTTAACAGTCTGCAGCAGCATATACGGCGAACACTTCAAACCAAATGGTACTCTCTGGAACCTCAGCACACGATCCAGCCAAAAGAACTGCAGGTAAGGTCTGTCCTCTAGGCGTACAAGAATCTGGTGAAACGCGGCCTGGATGTCCGTCTGACAGGCCACCGGACCTCTGCGAAAGTTCAGCAGGACAGCAGGCACTCGACTGAGCAGATTCTCACCAGATTCCAAGTACGAGTTGAGACTGTAGCCGCTGCCGTCAGCTGCCGAGCCGTCGTACACCACGCGTAGTTTGCCGTTCCGATGCACCCCGTGGTGCGGTAGGTAGAACGCAGACTCTCGATCTTCAGCGATGGGCGCGTCCTCGATGACGCCGGTCTTCCTCAGGTTGGCCAGGTGACTGTCGTACTCGTCGAACTCCTCTGCGGTCAGCTTCTCGGTCATACGGCGGGTGCGACTCTCTGCAACAGCCAGGTTAGCGACGGGGCGACGGTCCGACTTCCACAACAACGACATCTCGTAGCGATTCGCAGCAGGAACCCAGGTAGGTTCTTCAAAGTTAGGCATACAGGTACTCACTTCATCTTGGGCGACCCCCACGGCGTCCAGTGTCCACATCTGCTCCACGGTTTGGCATCGGTAGACGTGTCGGCGCGCTGGTTGCTGCTGGCTCGGCGCTGCTCCGTGCAGCACGTGTCCGAAGATCGTCTCGATCAGCCTGAGAGCTGGTGAGACCTGGACATGGTTCCACAGCACAACATGGTACATCTGATCCAGGCCGATCAACAGATCAACAGGTCCCCCCTGGTAATCATCAGCCAGCTTCACACCACTTGGGAGCGACAAAAAGTCGGGTTTTCTGTCATTTACAGGCGCACACAAGCGATCACTCTTCCAGAACTGGAGCTCCTTTCCCTCACCTGTGTGACGGCTCCTCAAGGTCACCTTGACCTGGTCATAGGTGCGTGCCTCCTCAACACGCTCAGGGAATCCAATACAGGCGAATGTCCCCTGTCCCAGTACCGCCAGCCCGAGCTCTTCAGCGACAGAGGCCCTGATGAATGAAGAGTCTGATCCCCCATCAATCATGACACGGACCTGTTTAGTGCCCAGGGGCCCAACAGCATCAACCAGTACAGTTTGGTTGTAGCACACTTGGCCATGCATGTCATTGCCAACACAGTCAGCACTCACCGCTGCCGAACAGTGCTGCCACCTATAGCCGGGCTGCCAAGTTTGACGAACATCATACACGGGCTGCTTACCAGCAGGCGGATCCATGCCAGCGCCAGGTGCAGGAGCAGCAGGCAGAGCAGATGCGTGCGCATGAGCCTGAGGTGCTGCAGCAGCATGCCCAGGAGCCGCTGGAGGTGCGGCTACACGAGCAGGGACTGCAGGCAGCGCAGCAGCAGGAGCGGCATGCAGAGACGTGTGATGTGCAGCACCGCACACCGTGCATGACCTGCTTTTGCACTGACGAACAAGGTGGGGTCCGAGACATTGGTAACACAACCCAGCTCTCCTCACTACTGCCCATCTTTCCTCCACAGACATCCTCTGATAAGCAAAACATTTGTTCAGGCCATGCTTGTACTTGGTACATGCTGCACAAGTCCATACACTGGCTGGGGCTGGGCTGACTCGACTCTGACTGACCGCAAGAGCACTCACTGTGGGTGGGGAGCCTCTCTCCTGGGCTGTTGGACGCTTACTGCAGAAGCCAGCCTCCTCTCGGATGTTCATCTCCCTCTGGAGAAACTGCAGGAACTCCTCCAGTCCTGGAGACGGCTGATGCTGCCGCGCCCACTCCAGTCTCCACGGCTCAGGCAGTTTTCCTTTTGCTATGGGTAGCAGCAGGCTGGAAAAACTGTCACAGCCGACTCCCATCGCTGTTAGAGTCCTCACGTGAGACGTCAGATGATCAATAAAAGACCTCATCGAGGTCAAGTCATCGGTTGCACACGGCATGTTCAGCAGCCCCTTAATTATCTCCTCTTTTACTCTCTCAGTTTGACAAAACCTGTCCTTCAATGTGTCCACAGCAGAGTCGTAACACACGTCAGACACTGGTATGCCCTTGATACACTGTAGTGCAAGACCAGACAGGTGACTCTTAAGTAAGACAAATTTCTGTACAGTTGCGTACCTTGGGTTGGTGTGTACAGCAACTTCGTAGAGGTCCCAAAACTCTGACCACTGCAGGAAGTCCCCACCGAACACTGGCAACTTGACGTCAGACACCCTGAGATCTGTGACATCAGACTGAGTTGGGGCGGGGGGAGCCACTACAGCACTCTCAATCCTGATCAGCTGACGCCGAGCCTTGAACACCTCTTCCCTCAGAGTATCAATATGAGACGTCTCATCGGGTACACCCTTAGAACTGAGCACACCCTGCAGTGACACCATCTGCTCCTCCAGCTGACTCAAAACATGGATTTTGTAAGCCAGATCATCTTGATCCACAGATCCTGCTCTGTACTCTTTTAAATCATTGACCAGCTTTGTAGCCTTACCTCGAAGCTTCGTCCTCTCCTTTACCAACGCTTCTTCAGTCATCTTCTCCAGCTTGCACTGAATATCAATGCCCAAACAAGCACAGCAAAATCACAGTTGAAATTAAAATCAAGGCGGGTGTTATCCGGCCCGCGGAGGACTATGTAAGGTGGGCAAACAAAATATTTCCTCTGGGGTATATTCTTGCGGCGGCTGGTTGCTTGACGGTGACAACTCGGTAACGCAACGAACAGTGCACTGACGCGCTCGGCAGCCTCGACGGTAGCATTCTGAGATGGGCGGATCAAAACAAAACGAAATCGGCTCGGTGAAAAAAATGGAAGCGTTACGTCACAACCTAGGGCCTGTTCCAGCGCCTCCAGAAGAAATTCTTGACTGGAGGCTCTACCAGAGGTTTTACTGGAGGCGCTGGAACGCAATCTGGAGATTTCTGGAGATTGGCATCATAGATACCAAAAGAATGACGATTGTTCTCTCTTGAAACGCAAAATTTGTTTTCAATTTTAGTTAAAAAGATAAATAAAATTATAGCAATGTAATTTTCTTTACATTCAAGTTGTAAAATAATCAGTCAAATTTCCTTTGTTTACATTCGTGATTGTCACATGTGCGCCATAATTGTAGACCAGAGCCTCCAGAGAAATTTGGACCTCTCAACTCTCTGGAGGCTACTGGAGGTTTCTGGAGCTTTGGCGAGAGCTTTCTGGAGCTTTCTGGAGGCGCTGGAACGCTCTCTGGAGGATTCTAGAGCTTTCTGGAGGTTTCTGGAGGTTTCTGGAGGCGCTGGAACAGGCCCCTAATTGTGAAGGATTCAGGAAAAGGGCGGGCAAATAAAGGAAAGTTTTACTGGGGTAGGAAAGGTAGGTTACATTAGTATACGCACGGGTGAAGGTAAAAAAAGGAACAAGACCACGAATTCATAACAATAACCAATAAATGTTGGTTGTCGGCATTTTGTGTTTTAGGGTGGCGAGACGATTGGTATCGGGTGGAAGGGGTTGGTTACGCTCGCGGACACTATTTGTAGGCGGAGGGAAGTTTTTAAGGTTGAAGTATTGGGATGCCTTTTCAATCTTTTACTGGGTTGTTTTTTTCCGGCCGTCGAGTGCTCCACGTCGTGTAACCTGTAAGCCAGTGTCAATACGTTGGCAACCGGAACCCCAAACCCTTAAGGTCGCCGAATACGTTGAAATGCGTAGACGAATTTGCTGCTGTCTTCATGGACATCCTAACGGGGTTTTGCGATTCATCCTTGAGACTGCAGCGTGAATGAGGGCGATAAAAGGACGAAAAACGGCGAACTATTCGATTTTGCTCCAAAGCTGAGCAGTCCGGCTCCACAGGAAGCGAGATGGAGACGAGTCTCCGGTTGGAAGCACGCCCCTCGGCGAACACTAAGCGAGAGGGGGTCGGCACACCACCTCCTCCCTTGACGTCTAGTCGAGTTACCACCAGGGGGCAGGAGCAGCAGTACCCGAATCCCGTCGGCGAGACATTTCCGACGCCATCCCCGACGGCATCCCGGCTGAGAATGGCTCATCTGGGCCGGTGCCCCTTCCAGAACGCAGGGCTGAAGAGGCGTGTCACCCGGCCACCGCGACTGTCTCCGCACGGTGGAAGGCGCAACCCCCAGGACCCCGTTGTCCGGGTGTACGGGCACGGGTCGGCTCGCCTAGCCTAGTAAAAATCGGCTTCCGGTGAGAAATCAAGTGCAAAAACACCGCTCATCAATAACAAAAACACGATAACAAGGAAAAGTCAATACGCATCATCTGTCCTTTCAGTGATCAAATCAGGTCATCAAGCGCGTGTCAATCCGGAGCCGAAGGGGCGCCTCTCCCCTTACCGGCCGAAGTTACAAGCGTCGCAAGGTGGGGCCAATAAGCCCTGGGCGAGGAACAGCTCCGACAACGGTCAGCCCCTGTGGGGAGAGTGCGTGGTAATGTGAAGATGAAGTCCGAGTGGTATGTAGGTTGGGTGACGGTGGGCATTGTGGAAAATTCGTACGAGGATAATTAGAGCTCCCTGGCCCAATGACAATGATGCTCCTGGGAAGTTATTATTTATTATAATAAAATTCGTATTTATCGTTGAAACATATTTTACAACAGCATAGGGAGGCAGCGGGGTTACTTCACCTCCGTCCTACAGTAACGCGATCGGTGGGCGATCGTAGGACAGCCTCCAGAGCCAACACTCCACGGCGAGCCACCCAGCATGGCGGCGCCCGGCACCCTTCCCAGCGTACGGCTGGCCGGCCTATCCCCACATAAATAACACGGGTTACCCGTCCGCCTAGCCTCTGCCGAAATGATTAATACACGGAGCAACGTCGTTGTCAAGTGCCTACTCTACAGTCGCGTCTTGGCCGTCGCCTCCGTCGTGGCCGCGGCTGGAGCCTCGGGTCACTCGGACTCGCTCTCGGTCTCGGCGCTCTCGACGATCAGTTTGGCGGAGCTCTCGCTGGTGCCGGCGCTGTTGGTGGCCCGGCACGTGATGACACCAGAGTCCTCCTCGTAGGTCTCCACGATCTCCAGCGAGGCCGTGTTGCCGCTGATGGCCATCTGGGGAACGCGCGCACAGGGGTGAACCAACGGGGCCCACGATCACCTCGGTTCACTGGACCGCATCCCTCAATCAGCCAACCCTTTGGTTACTGAACACAATGTGTTATGAAGCCACTGACCTTAAAGTCGCGGCTCTGCGGAATCAGGGTGTTTTCCCGCAGCCAGCTGACGGTCGGCGTGGGCTTCCCTGTGATTTTGGCCGAAAAGCGGGCCGGCTGGCCCTCCTCGACGGTGACGTCCTTCATGGGAGTGACGGTGGGCGCCTCATCCTCCTTGGGTGCTGTGGGCGAGCGGTCGGGCGGGTCGGTCGGTCGGCCGGCCCGCCGGGCAGAGATCCGCAACAAGTTCAGACCAGTCGGGGCCCCAACCATTCGCCCTGAATGCGCTCGGCGCCTGGGTCCGGCGTCCGTGCTGCACCGAGCCACTCACCTTGAACTTTGAGCGGTGCTTTCATGGTGGACTTGCCGGCCGAGTTGGTGGCCACGCAGTAGTAGGTGCCCTCGTCCTCCGGGAAACACTCGGAGATGCGCAGGATGAACGCGTCGCCGTCCTGTTCCATCTTGAAATACTTGGACGGCTTGATCGGCTTCTCGTCCTTCAGCCACTGGGCCGTCGGCGCTGCAACGGGCGTCTGTACTCAGCGTGGCCGCAACAGTGAGGTGGAGCGAACGCAAATATGCGAGAGACTGGAAGGCTCGGCATTGCCAGGCATTCGGCATTCGAATAACCGAACCTGATCCACCGTCAGACCGGCGGTTCCCCAACGGTGTGCTAAATCTGCGTCCGACGGGCCCAGCCGTTACCGAGCTGTCCGCTCCACTTACCTGGGTGTCCGCTGAATCGGCACCGGAACATGGCCGCCTGGCCCTCGACCACAATCAAGCCCTTCATCGGCTCCACGATCTTGGGCGCTACGGCCTGTTCCTGCGGCTGAGCCTTGGCCTTGGCCTTGGGCGCCGGCGCCGGAGGAGGGCTCTCCACCACCAGCTGGGGACGAAGGAGTGGGGGTCAAAGCCAGCTCTCCAACAATGAAGCGCAGAGAGGCGCGACTCGAGAACGATCACTAGCGGCTACGGACGGGGAGACGGCGGGAGAGGAAAGAGGAACGATAACAGAACAGCTACGTGCGCAGATAACAACAGATCAGCAGGTAGCGATTACGGGGGGGGGGGGGGGGGGGGGCGAGGAAGGCGCTCCGAGGGGCAGGGTCACCCGCAGCGCGCCCATCGGGCCGGGGCCACCGACCTGTCCCTGACAGCGCGCCTCGCCGTTCTTGTTGATGGAGACACACTCGTAGCTGCCAGAGTCGTCCGCGGTCGGCTCCAGAATCAGTAGCGTGTACACCTCCTGGTCCTCTAGGATCTTGAACTTCATGTCAGCTGTGATCTTACGGCCGTTCTGCGCGACATACGATAAATACGACACTCGGTCATCGAGGCATCAGGCAGAGCGAGCAGCACGATGCGCCCTTTACACACAAGAACAGTGCGCCGGTAGCATTGAGGTCGGCGGCGCCGACCTTTTCCGCTGGCAACGCTGGTCGGCGCCCAGATTTCCCCCCAGAGCCGGACCGTACTGACCTTCAGCCAATAGACGTCCATCGGCTTGGTGCCGGCCAGCTTGGCGTCGAAGCGAGCCAGCTTGCCAGCTTTGACGGTGGTGTCCTGGATGGTCTGCACGAAGTTGGGCGGCGCCGCCGCGCCGCGCTCCTGTTTGCGCTGCTCCACCACCAGGTTCGCCGAGCACTTGGCCTTGCCGCCGCGGTTGGAGGCGATGCAGGAGAACTGGCCCGAGTCCTCGCTGAACACCTCGCGGATCTGCAGCACCGACCTGCGCTGGGTGGTGGTGATCTGTCGGAGCGGGAGGAGCGGGGCCGCGTCACGGGAGGCCGGCTCGCGGTGGACGACCGTCACGGCTCACGGTCCGGTTCACGACAGACGTCCGGCGGCCGGCCGTCCGACCAGCCAGGCAAATAACACGGGGCTGGCGCCCGTCCCTTGGATCGTGATTCACCCTGAATGCATTCCGCCTGATTGTTATGAATGATACGGACTCAGCACAGACCACTCGCAACAATATTGAAATAATAACGTTGTATAAGGAGCATGTTGCTTTAGATTTACAGAAGAGAAATGGCGTTTCAATACACCTAGCAAACATACCGTTCAGAGTTTTTAATCTCGGGACAGTTAAATCCTTGTCCACACATCAAACCCCCTAATCCGGGCTGGACGGCCCCCTTCTTCAGACGTGAGAAGCTCCCCAGGAACAGGCTCTCGTGTGGTGGGGCGACCGTTAGCGGAGCTGGGTGACCGCCCATCGTGACGGGCTCGGCCTTAGCGGTGCACCAGGGTGGCCGCCCAAACCAATGAACCCCCCCCCCCCCGATTCGTTTCATCCTTAAGACTCTCAAAAGGTCTCGTTAGACCGAGAGATCCTTATCCCACTCAACAATCCTCCCAAAGGCTGTTACCCACTGTCAAACTTGCTCAATTTTTAGGTCTGCCATGAGGGCGGCATTGATCGAACGGAATCGACTTGCCTTGAAGTCCTGGCTGGACTTGATGAGGAAGTCCTCGCGGAACCACTCGACATCGGGTGCCGGGTCGCCCGTGAACTCCACCTCGAACTTGGCACCCTCCTTGTCGAACACCCGACACGGCTGCATCTTGCGCGTGAAGAACGGAGGCTTGGACGGCTCCTGAAACCAGCAGGAGACAGATGTGAGACGGGAACGCAACTCTTCAAACTGAGGGACTTTGACAAGTTATAGCACTACTTCATTGACGCTAAACGGCTCTAAATCGCAGCAACTCAATTCGGTACACTACACCGCCCGCATTACTGTATTAGCATTAGCGCGTTCGGTTTGACCGTACCTTGCTATCGCTGTATCCTGGCTACCAGTGAAGACCGTCCGTCCCCGCCGCCCCAGGCAGGCGCACCCGGCCCTCGCCAGCGTAGGTACTCACCACCTTGCCCTGCACGACGCGCTCCTGGGTCTGCGCCTTATGCTCGACCTCGGAGGTCTCCTTGGCGGTGATGTTGCGCCGGATCTCCAGGTCTCCGCGCTGCTCCTTTTGCTGCTGCCGCTGAATGTTGGTGTGTACCTGATGGCGGGGGGAAAACGGCGGCTCGCCTGATCCCATAGTCCGCAGTACATCCGTCACAAAAAGAAACGCCAACACTGAGTAAACCGGTACCTTCGGTGCTGACCTATCTTATCAATTCATATAAGTTTAGCGGTAATATTTGTCGATAGAGCGCTGCGGGAGAGCGAGTTCTGCGTCGCCACCATCCCCTCTGACCGTTTCCTTCCGGTGTCCCGCTCTCACCTCCTTGCCCTGGACCACGGACTCGGCGGGCCCGGGCATGAACTGTCGGCGCGGTGGCGGCTGCGCCTCTGGTTTTTGGTCGGCCTCGGAGCTGCCGGCAGCGCGGCGGAGCGGTCACAGGGCGGCCCGGCCACCAAACACAGGGACAAAGCCATACATACACGGGACCCGCGGCCCCGGTCATATGGCAGGGCAGAGCAACGCACGGCGCGAGCTGCAGTCTAGGCATGTCAGCGACAACCCAACAAAATGGTTGGAATGTGGGAAATAAACATAGCATGTGTTGACTGCACGCCTTTGGAGGCTGGAGCAGTAACGGACAAGCAGTGGCAGCCGACAGTGCAGTCTGAAAATGGACCCAGCGCCCCACCTCATGCAACCGACAACAGGTCACAGCGCTGAACACTGAAAACACGACACAAACGGTACCCGGCACCGTGCAGAGTTCCGTGACTGAATCCGCTGTTGGAGACGGCTCGGAACGGCGGGGACGGAAATAGAGAGACTGGCTCTGCAGGCGACAGAAGGTATAGGAAGGAGTTCAGGCCAAAGCGAAGAGCGCTCACTAACGAAAACAGGATGTGATATGCTCGCGTGAAGGCATCGATCCTGCACTAGACTGCTCAGCACAGGCGTCAGATCTGAGCCATCTTTCGAAACAGACTGCAGGCGGCCGCCAAACAAACGGCTCTCTTTTCAAGCCCGACGCCGTTGTAATCATGCGTTCATGCCATTTACATGCTGAACGTGGTGCTTATTTATGAATGCTCTCTGTGATTTAACCAACGAGTCACGACACTGAACGAGAGGGGTGACCAATCATCACTGAATGGTGTTTATTTCCTTGTCCAAACATTGATCGCCTTGATAATCAGTAGGTACCGGAAGCATTAAAGAAGAATCGTGAAATTGGTCCATGCACACGAGTGCCAAACATGCACAGAAGCCCTGCCCAGAACGGACTGCAGAACAATCAGCGTAAGCGAGCAGAAATAGTGTTTAAAGTGCAGATTAGGTGATTTTTACGCCCCCCTCACACATGTTCATTGATGTGCCACAGCTTAGTGTACACTGACACGCAGAGACGGTTGGAATGAACATAAGCAGAGATTCTTCTCCGTACTACCCCACGCACGCCTACGAAGCGAAAAACAACGCAAACAGGTCGGTCGGACCGCGGCCGGCGTGCACAGTACCTAGGCTGCCTGCGGAGCACGGATTGGGCCCCGCGGGACATTCGAGACGCGTCACTGGAGCTCTCTGCCGACTCATTCCTGAACAGAGGGGCACAAGTTCGACACATGTCATCACGAGTTTATACACGGCACCGACCCACACACACCGGAGGGGAGGGAGGGGGACACGCGGTAGAGGAGTAGGGCGGGGTCGCAATAAACCGCAGTCCTGCAGAAGTCTGCCGCGGATTCCCTACAGTAACACTGCCTCTTGGGGTCGACCGCCATCTTGCGATAGAGCGCCTGTCAATTGGTATGTCGGTATAAACTGGCATGCAAAAAAAAAAAAAAAAACAGCGACTTTTATGCTACAAAGACGTGATGAGAACCTCGGGACAAAACGCGTCTATTCACACTCACCGTACATAAAAGTCCCTGACAACTAAAAGAACATGTAATGCGCCGACGCTGCGGTGTAGGCAATGCATGATGTCCATGTGTAGCTCCCACTATCAATTGATAGAGTATAAAGCAAAGCAGCAACTAATAAACAACATATTGATATCACATGTCGTGTTTTATAATAAAAAATGGATATACCAACACTTACTTGACAAACACGAAACACTTGTTGCTACGTATGAATTGGTGTAAGCGGAATCTGACTTAACCAATTCAGAAAAGCATGAACTATGAGGCATGCCTGTCAGTTTTAGAGCCGATATGTTGTAAGTGTATTCGTTCTAGCTATGTCTTCTACGTGGAAGCTAGAGTAACTCAGAGGCGCTCCTATGTAAATGTATGCCGATTGCCGAGCCTAGGACCAACTATGGCGCTTACACCGCATGCACCACGTCTATACACCGCGTAGCGCCCGGTCTACGAAGCTAGCCCGTCATGTACCTGACCGTGTGCGATACCGTTTCGGACGATTCGACAGTGCGCCTTGCTGTGGCCGTAGTCTCTTCAAAAGATTCGCTCTTAGTTCCCCTGTGACAAGACGCCAGAGGTTGACAGACCCATCCACCCAAACTGCCGAACTGATCCTCAACTCGACCCAATTCCTTGATCAGGTGTTACAGAAAACATATGCCTAGCTCACATAGTAGTCAAAGGGTTAATAGTCAACCGGCTGCCTAAAAATTGACCGCATATTCATCTACACCTCCAAACCACACCCTACTGGTCGTACTTGTCTGCCGCCCGCCTCCCCCGCGCGCACTCACAGTTTCTGCATGTAGCTGGCGGCCATTCCCTTGGCGACCGAGCTGTGCTTGATCTTCTCGCCGGGAACGGCGAACTGGTGGCCCGCCTCGCGGATCTTGGACTCTTTCATCAGCTGCTCCTCCTCCAGCTGGGAGCGGCACGGTCAGACGGGGAGGGACACAGTCAGACGGGGAGGGAGGCGGTCAGACGGGGAGGTAGGCGGTCAGACGGGGAGGGAGGCGGTCAGACGGGGAGGTAGGCGGTCAGACGGGGAGGGAGGCGGTCAGACGGGGAGGGAGGCGGTCAGATGGGGACGGGACACGGTCAGACGGGGACGGGAGGCGGTTAGACGGGAGGGAGGCGGTCAGATGGGGACGGGAGGCGGTCAGACGGGGAGGCGTTAACGCACTGTTACTGCTTCAGTCAGTACTGCTACACTTAACCCTCGCCCATGTAGGGGGGGGGGGGTTGGTGCAACCCCCCCCCCTGAGGTTTTTCGGAAATAGTGCAAAAACGGCGGCGCGCAGCGCCGCCAAATTTTGGGTACCTTATGGGGCAAACCTTGCGCATCTTTTGATAAAAAAAAAATGACCGGGTCATGTCAGGTCACGGAGTTATGACGTCACAAAGGGAACAGCCTCCGGCCGGATTTTCACAAACTAAGTGCCAACGCCCGAGGTTTCCTGCCGGTGGTACGGACATCGGTTGATGGATCGTGATGAAACTTCCCATGCATGTTGGGGCAAGTATTGGCTATCATATGGTATAAGAAACTTGACCGGGTCAGGTCAGGTCACGGAGCTATGACGTCACAAGAGGAACAGCGTCCGGTACTATTTTTGAAAAGCGCCCGAACCACTATTTTGCTAATTCTTGTCACCTCAATGGGAATATGCAGCAATATTAGCTTCTATAGGGAGCAATTGGACCTCCCAAATCCAAAAATACAATCAGATTTCAAAAATTTAAATTTTGATTTTTCGAATTTCTGCCGCCGACTGTGACCTTGCCGACTTCCGGCGCTCCCAACGCGCCATTTTTAGAGCTAGGGAAACGAAATACATACCAAACGATAGAGAATTGATCAAGGAACACGATAGTGAAGGTTTCAAGTCGATATCTCCCACCGTTTTGCCGCAATCGCCGCGGAAAGTTGAAGAAAGTCTATTTTTCCGAAAATTTGACCTTTGACCGGTCAAAAGTAGGTCAAATGTTGACCTAGGACCAAAAAATATACCACCAATCGCGAGATCTCGGCGAGAGCAATCCGTTGGTCTTTTCCGCTAAGCTCTACGACGCTCCGTTTTCAAACGCCAAGGGGGGGGGTCGCACCAACCCCCCCTGCATGGGCGAAGGTGGCAGATCGCCGTTTACGGGCGAGGGTTAATGTGCGGAATGTTTATGTTTGGACAACCAAAGGTTTCAACTTCATTACTATCAATAAATAGATCTTGGCAGATACTTGCATTTTATGTTTTATTGCGCAGCTTGGTCATATCCACTTATGGTATTGAGTTCCCAGCCGTCCGGGCCGGCCTCCCCGACCGGCTGTGGCGGCTGCCGCGCCCGCGTGTCCCGCTGGCGGCGCGGCGCGGTGGCCCTCACCTGCTTGTAGCTGCTGTAGTAGTCGGCGCCCTTCTTGGCCTTGGCCATCTTCTGCCACTCGGTCTCGGGCTGTTCGACCACCTTCTGGTGCTCGCCCTGGTGCAGGACGCTGATGCCGGGCCGCACCTTCTCCTCGAACACGCGCTCCAACTCGTCGTCCTGACGGTCCTTCTGGTACTGCTTCAGGTCGTAGTCGTACCACGCTGACGGAAGCGGGCAGCGCAGGTCAGGGGCGTCTGTATCGCCAGTAACCAAGTCCTAGATCACGGCTCAGTATACTATCAACATCAGTGTATTCGTTACCTGGAATTGTGCGATCGGACGGTAGAAGTCGGGGTCTAGGCAACAAGCTCTGCTTAGCATGGGCTCAGTCTCTGTCAATCCGTCCACTCAAACATTCGAGCTAAATTTATAAAAAAAAGTACCTACTGCTAAGCTGCACACGCTATCCTTAAACTAACTTTTAGCTCATAACTCATTAACATGGTGGAGGACGCTGCTATGACGGGAAGCCACACGCATGACCGCTGTTCTCGCCGGCGGCGTCGAGCGCGGCATCACTCCCACCGCTCCGGCCCGATCCCCTCACACGGGACGACACACCAGCGACAGCCGCCCGCGCCCGACTCACGTTTGGGCGAGTTCTTGAGCATGGCCCGGTAGTCATCCTGTTTGGGCGTCACGTTCAGCTCGCAGGAGGTGTACGCCTCGCCGGCCGCGTTTCGCGCGATCACCTCGATCTTGCCGTGGTCGTACTGACGCGTCTTGGGAATGTCCAGCCGCCACATGCCGTCGTAGGTCAGCTTGTAGCGAGTGCCCTGTCGAGATGGAAGCGGTTTCAAAACGTGCTAAACAGTCTAGTAGAAGTTTGTCGTTTTATTCAGTAGACGTCCAAGTTGATCTTTACATACAAGAGCTTACCTATCAATAGCAGCTTATGCCATTCTGCCCACCAATGCACAGCTCATTAAGACAGGGCACATAAGACGCTGCTTGGGCCACTGACAGTCGCGCTGGTGCGCCACTCACATTGACGATGGTGTGACCGTTGATGAGCCACATGACGCGGGGTCGCGGGTGGCCCGTGAGCCGGCAGCAGAAGCGCGCCCAGTCGCCCTCCTTCACAGAGCACGGCTCCGGCTTCAGCACAAACTGCGGCGCCTCGGGCACCTTCTCCTCGTCGGCGGGCCGCTCGGGCGCCCGGTTCCACTGCGACTCCAGCTCCTGGATCTTCTTTACCGACTGCATCCCGGCCGGCAGCTGCGAGTCGTACACGATGCCCGGCTTGCCCTGCGTCACAGGCGGACACACCGCGTCAATACCCGGCAGCACAGAAGTGCCTGCTGGCGCCTCTTCATTCTTAAGCCAGCAGGGAAAAAGGTAGCCCAAATAAAGAATATCAATGGCATCCCCCATCTTAAGACCGAGATACAACGAAAGATAAACTCTGAGCAAAGTACAAGATCCGGGGGGGGGGGGCGAGGAAGTTAATCTCCACCGCCTTTTATATCCAACCAGTCACTACAGCTGCTACAGTAAGGACGGCTAAAGCGCGCCATTTTGGCCGGCACGGCTGCGATACCCTGCAGGCCGGCGCAGTGTGTCAGCTGACTGACCTTGGTCTTGATGACGGCGCGCGTCTCGTCCATGCCGTACTTGTTGGTGGCGCGGCACAGGTACTCCCCAGAGTCCTCCGGGTACACCCAGCCAAAGTTCATCGCCACGTAACCAAAGTCGTAGATGGGCGTGAAGCGGTTCTCTGTGGTACGGGGGGGAGCGGCTGAAACGGTAGGTACTGCAAACAGCCCCGGCCTCGCCCCCGACAGTCTCTATAGATGCCTTTCTTTGGAACGTGCTTTGTTAGCCTTTCGATACTGGTTGTCCGGCAGTGTATAGTCCACATGTTCGCTACTCTGTTCTGGCCGGCTCGGCCGAGTGGGTCCCGCGCACGGTCCGGCCTGACTCACTGTGAGGAAGCGGCCGGCCGTTGAAGAACCACTCGACCTTCATGTCGGGGTCGCAGACGGGCGCCAGCTGGCACTCGAATTTGGTGACGTTCATCTCGACAAGGTCCAGCTGGTCCTGGATCTGGGTGACGAACCTGCGACCGGGGGCACGGGGCATTCAGATGTGACGGGGGACGGAACAGTCACCAGGTACCGGGGGGATGAGTCGGTCAGAGGTGACGGGGACGGTCAGCGGTACCGGGGGAGAGGTACCGTTTGCGCGTATATCTAGAAGGCTAAGAGCACTTCCGACACCAAGAACAGCTCCATTCCAGCCAGCGGATCAGCGGGCGAGGGGCGGTGAGCGCAGCGCCACAGCAGAGCGGCCCCCAGGGTGCCAGCAGCGCCCCTCTCGGCTCACCGGGGCGGCTGTTTGCGGTCGGCGTCGTAGATGTCCTCCTCGGTGAGGTGGATGTCCGAGGTGTACTGCTTCAGCGCCGCCTCCATCTGCATCAGCGTGTCAGACTTCTTCATGCCCTTCGGCACCTGGTTCATCATGATCACGGACGAAATGCCTGCCGCGGCCCCAGGGGATGGATCGTGTCCGTTAGCATTCCGAGGTGACGGATAAATCAATAACAGCCTAAATCTGCACAGCCGGCGGAGCACTAGGCCCCACTTTTACTTTCAGGTCCCAGGAGACTAAATGAGAAACAGTGATACAAACCTAACACACTCGCTAAGGCAAAAAAATGGTATGAAAACAGGCAAATAACGTTCGTTTGAAATACAAACAACTCGGCTCCTAGCGCCTATCCATAACAGCCGCGGCCCCTGATGCGAGTGGCTGATCCGTGGCCCGTTGAACCGGTCAGAGAGAGCGCTGCCCTAGCGAGGGGAGGGGACTGACCTCGGCAGGTCAGGGCGCTCTTGCAGGTGGCTTGGCCGGCCCTGTTGACGGCCCGGCACGTGTACTCGCCGCCGTCCTCCGGGTAGACGCCCAGGATCTGCAGCGACGCGTACCCAAAGTCGAACGTGGTGCGGAACCTGGCGGCGGGCCGTGAGGCGGCCTGGTCAGCGGGCACATATCGGCTGGGAGCGTGGGGCGGCCTGGTCAGCGGGCACATATCGGCTGGGAGCGTGGGGCGGCCTGGTCAGCGGGCACATATCGGCGGGCCGTGGGGCGGTCTGGTCAGCGGGCACCTATCGGCTGGGAGCGTGGGGCGGCCTGGTCAGCGGGCACATATCGGCTGGGAGCGTGGGGCGGTCTGGTCAGCGGGCACATATCGGCTGGGAGCGTGGGGCGGTCTAATCAGCGGGCACCTATCGGCTGGGAGCGTGGGGCGGTCTGGTCAGCGGGCACATGTCGCCTGGGGAGAGTCCGGGGGTCCGGTCAGAACACATGCCGTCTGGACATCTCGCGAGACCGACGTCCGTATAATTGATACCATCGGCATTAGGGTGGTCCTTATTTTCGAAAATCGTATTTGGATACCTTGCGCCCCTTCAATCGGTGCCGTTTAACGAAAAAACATGTCTGTCAAAATTTCAGATCCCTACTTCATTATTTACTGGTAGCTCAACGCTCGTTCGTTCGTCAATGTTAGCTCAATGTCCGTTTCGTCGATCAATGTTCGTTCCCTCTTCCTGAGGTCTAACGATTGTCTACGACGCAAACTTCTGGGTACATGGTGTCCCCCAGTGATGACCTCCTTGGCTCCAAGTTCCCAGTAGCGGCGGAACACCTTCAATTAGGGGGGGGGGGGGCACTGCCGACTTTTGGTCCCATTCTTTCCATGCAACGCCCATAAGGCTAATGTTAAAATGTCAAAATCAAAGGGGGCCACGGTGCCCCGGTGCCCTCCCCGTTCCGCCGCCTATGCAAGCTCCCATCCCGCGGCCAATCTCTCGCCTACTTCCTCCACCGCCACCAAATCCTCTAGGAAACGGTCCGGGAAGCGGCCAACCGGACGTTAGAGAAGGTAGAGGAGTTCTGGGCAAGGGCTAGGATTCCCACCCAGCACGAGGGGAGAGCGTTCAAGAAGGTGGAAACTCTCTTCGACGAGTGGAAACGCCTAAAAAAGAACGAGAACAGGACTTCCGCCACCCAAACAAGCAACGAGGACGCATTCAAGAAACGTCTGGAAAACATCTTTGATATCGCCCAGGGTGACGCAATGTCCTTGATAACCATCCCGGAAGATCGCGCCTTCCTTCTCGCCCAACGTGAGCCAGGGAGACGGGATAGAATGACAGAGGCAGGCATGGCGCTCCATTCCCAAGAAAAGAGGAAGAGGAGGAGGGATGACGCCGAAGAGAGGAGGAGGAGCAAGGCGTCGGAGGAGGCGCGGGCGGCAGCCGACCAAGTGGAGCTGGAAAGCATAACCTCGAGTAGCTCCGAATCGTCCCCACTTCGCGGAGCCGTGAGACCTGGCCCCAGCATGGGTACAGCCACTCTGTCATCCCGAAAGCGTGGTCGAACCACGGTCATCACGCCGCAACTTTCCGCTAACGTCTAACGTCTAACGTGTGTGTGTGTGGGGGGGGGGGGGGGTCGGTTGGACCCCTGAGCCGTTTGGCTCCAGATCGCGCTAGAGCTTTGCGGAAAAAAACGAGCGTGTTGCCCGTGACGAGAGGAAGCCGATGATATCCAATTTAAGGTCCTAGGTCATTGGTTGACCTTCCAAGTCAGGTCAATGACCCAATGGTCAGGAAAATCGGGACCTGCAAGAGCTTCGTATAGTGAAGCTGTTATGTTTTTGGGGGGTGCTGATCACGAATTTCATGCTAGTTTTGATCACATATGATGTCTTCATGCATTTAGACCAGGTCAGGTCAGGTCAACCATTAGGCGTCCTGCCGGTTACCCATAGTAGGTCTCAACTACCACTGATGGCGTCGTAACACGTTACAAAGGAACTAAAACTACTTCGTAAATGTTCAAATGGATGCTAAATTCGAAATCAGCCCGAAAAACTGCCCTAGAAACATGTATAACTCGGAAAAGAGACACGAGGTCATCATAGGTCAATGACCTGACCTGACCTTCAGGTGACCTTGACACCCACCGTAATGCATGGGACGAACATAATTTCACATGTTTGGGCGTTTATAATCGCAAAAAGACTAGAAACGCGCGGATAATGAGAGCTGACGCTGACACGCTGAATCGCGACTCTGGCCAAACATGGTCTCGAGAAATAGGTCACAGGTCAAAGGTCATTTGGGTCAGGGTCATGAAATTTTCAGAGTAGGTTTGAAATTGATCAACTCGAGGGAACTGAAAGTGTTGTCGCGATCGGCCGTTTTTTTCCGTGAGTTATTCGCGAAAACCCATGGGGTCCATCCGACCCCCTAAACATACGAGGGTTAATATGCATTGAGCCACCAAAAAGCATCCGCCGATTTCGCTCTTTTTGCTCTTTTTCCACGTTTCTAGACGAATGGCATCATTTGAGGGGGCGCAAGCGCGAAAAAATACAAATTAAAATTTTGTATGGAAATAAGGACCACCCTAATCGGCATACATACGCGGCGATGCCATCAAACGCCGACCAGACGGAAGAATAATAGCAGCGCCATGGACCTCATGTGCGATCGATACGATGCAATCAAACCGTCAGTGTGATTATCCCGTGCCGGTAATCACTAGTGACCTGTCGGTGACCCGACAGCTGTGACCCGTGTCAGTGAGTCAGTGACCCACCTGTGACCGGTCTGCACGAGCACGCCGTTCCTGTACCACTCGACCCGCAGGTTGGGGTCTGTCTTCGGCTCCACCCTGGCCTCGAAGAAGGCCGTCTCGCCCTCGCAGATGTCCACGTTCTCGATCTGCCGTCGCGGCGCAGCACAGCTCAATACAACGCAACACATCACAGCCGCTGACATCCTGCCGCGGAACAGCCCTTCCACACAGCCGTAACACAGCCGCGGGATTCAGCACTGCACTGAAACAGCGTTCAGTCAAATTGGAAGTGTTTTAAAATTAAAGGATATGTTATCTGTCGAGCTGCCTCAGCACAGCATGCAATAGAAGGTGGTCTGTTCTCACTGTCTGAGCTGTATCGGAGTTGCCTGGTGACCTTCCCTCTCCCCATCCCTGGTCTACAGCCCCCCTCCCTGGTCTCCAGCCACCCCCTCCCTGGTCTCCAGCCCCCTCCCTGGTCTCCAATCTCCCCCTCCCTGGTCTCCAATCTCCCCCTCCCTGGTCTCCAGTCTCCCCCTCCCTGGTCTCCAGTCTCCCCCTCCCTGGTCTCCAGGCTCCCTCCCCATGTGCCCACCTCCTTGATGAAGCGGGGCGGCTCGGCGTCCGGCTGCGGCGCGGCCGGCTCGCCCAGCTTGGGGCCCTCCTCCAGCGCGCGCAGCTTGTCGCCCGACATGCCCTGGGGCAGCTGCGACTCGAGCTGCACATCGCGCTTGGCTGCGGCAGCGGAGCGAAACAGTCACTCCGGCGAACGGGCCGGATACAAATCTGTAGTGACCAGTGACCGTAGGCGTGCAATTCAAACAATCAGATGGTAAAATAATAATGCTACGTGTGCTATCCCGCGGCACTTATATTAACAGCTTGTAAGCTACAATATAGCAAATAGCACGTCAGGCAGTACGCCATTATTTGTCAAACACTCCGGTTACATGGCTAAGGCTATGTTTACATTTCGTTGAATTTAAGTTAATGTATTTATTTACAGAAGTTCGATTGAGACGGCGAAAAGGCTTCGTTTTCTTACAGATGGCCTTGGTATCAGTTCTGAACGTCAACCGAGAGTAGCATCACGCGGGGGATGACAGCATGCACAGATGGACGGCGGAGTGTCAACTTACACGGGGGCCGGCCGGGGTCCGCAGCTGGCCTGAAATGTGCGCGCACGTGGCTGTTAGTGCGGCACACAGGTGGAGCGGCAGTCGTTACTGGTTCGCTTGACCGTCACTTACCAGAGGGTTATGGAGGACGGAACAGGTTAGTAGTGCGAACACAAACACACAGCCGGCAAAAGGCAGCCGGGAAAGCGCTGGCTTACGGCGCAACTTCGCGCCAAATATAAACTGGTAATCACAATTTGATGGTCGGGGAAAGTACTACATACCTACATCCCTGCCGTCGCTATTGTATGTGCTATTAAATAACGAACAAAACACGTACAGTTTAATGTTCATAACAGCGACATGCAAAGCAACACGCGCGGCATTAACAAAAACGCAACACGGCCCGAAAACTATTTCACAAAAGACCGACTGACAAATCGGGATTGTTTCACGGCAACCGACCGGAACTGGCAGCTAGGGACGGGCACAACTCGAGACTAGGGTTCGGGAGCCGGGGAGTCGGCCGCGGGCCGCACCTTTGCAGATGAGCGTGGCCTTGGTGGAGGCGGTGCCCCACTTGTTGGTGGCCCGGCACACGTACTCTCCAGAGTCGCGCGGGAACGTCCAGTCAATGTCCAGCACGATGAAACCAAAGTCGTCCATGAAATGCATTCTGAAACACATCCGATTGGCGATAAGGCGCTGAAAGTCGCCAGGAATTCAGAAATTATATCAATTCAGACAATCAAAAGACTGTGCGAGTGTAAACCAATCCTCCCGAGAGCAAATTCTCGTAAGCCTTCCTTGAGAAAAGCAGTCCACCGGTACACGCAGCGCACGCAGCTGTGCGGTGGCCGGCGGACACTGGAACCGGCCTGACCTGACCCGAGCCGACCTCACCTGGAGCCCGTGTCCAGCGGCCGGCCGTTGAAGAACCACTCGATCCGCATACTGGGGTCGCCGACCGGCTCCAGGCGGCAGTCGAAGTGGGCGGCGGCGCCCTCGTACAGCTCGTCCTGGTTCTTGAGCTCTGTGACGAAGCGCGGCGGGTTGGGCTGCTCCTCGGGCTCTGGCGCCGCCGGCCGCGGCTTGTGCAGGTCCTCCTCCAGCTGCCGGATGCCGGCCATGTCGTGCGGCATCTGCGGCTCCAGCACCACGTTCGACCGGCTCTGTGGACACGGCAGCGGGCGTCGGACACGGCAGCGGGCCAGACCGGCAGATCAGCACGGGCCGGGGTGGCAGAGGTCAGCACGGGTCAGAGCAACGCACCGTCTGCGCACAGCAATCCCTGGTACAGTCGGGGACTAAAATACGCCAAATCAATTAAGCCTTTTGAAAAATGTCGTTTTAAATGCCATCACTAGAATGAAGCTAGGCTAGTTCTCTGCTCCATTTTCCGATCGTTTGAAGGCACAAACTCGAACTGGAACGGGATGGGAGCCAGCTGTCCATCTGACACGGGTAACTGAATACGTCTGAGGGCCGGCGGCCTCTGACCTTGATGGTGAGCGTGCAGGAGACGGTGGCCTCGCCGTGTTTGTTGACCGCCTTGCAGGTGTACAGACCGGCGTCCCGCTGGTAAATGCCGCCAATCTCCAGAATGACGTAACTGCGAATCGGCCCAACATACGGGTAACCACTTTGATTTATCACTCAACTACCGGGTACGTTTGGGTGATTCTTCTCAGACCACCTTCTCACAAACCTAAATTAATCGAGTCGAAATGGGTGCCGTTGATAGCGCTGCATCGTACATAAAAAAAACACAATTAGCACATCATGTTGCGCCAGTCCTGGTGCTCCGGCGGCGCGTTCTCAGACGCGGTACCCACCCGAAGTCGTTGATGCTGCGGATGCGCGAGCCCGAGGAGAGCGGCCGGCCGTTGTGGTACCACTCGACCCGCATGGTCGGGTCGGCCGTCGGGGTCAGCCGGCACTCGAAGTGCGCCAGCTGGTTCTCCACCAGGCTCAGGTCGGTCGGCTGCGTCACAAACTTGGGCGCCTGGCCCTGAGGAACAAACGCCATAGGGCATAGGTCACAAACGGCTAAACGTCGGGCTCAAATGTCTCAAATCATGTGATATTTGACCATCCCAGTAGCATGACTCTGTTCAGTGTTGCGCCACACAAGCAGCGGCGGTTCAGAGTCGCAGCCCTGAAGGCGTACGCCCGCTGGTCGGGAGGCGCGCGTCTCCCACCTCCTCCGACTCGGCCGGCTGCTCGGGCTTCACGCCCAGACCCTCCAGTTCGGCGATCTTCTCCATCGTCTGCTCCATGCCCTTGGGCAGCTGAGACTCCAGCACGATGTTCTTCTTACCTGCCGACGGTGGCGCACGGTGTCAGCTTTCGACCGATGACACTGAACGACACGTCATTATCATACGATCACGAGCAATTTTATCTGCCGTCTAAATTTAGGGCATGCATATCACCCATTATCAGCTTACCACTCCTCCACCCACCCACAATTTGAACAATCAATAAACTGAACAGTATCTCAAAGACCCTACCAAAACAACAAACCAGAGAAGATAAACATCTACCTCGTCAAACTATCGGAACTCCATTTCTCCAAACTATAAGGCAGCTCCGTGCCCTCAGGCCCCCTCCCCGCCCGGCGCGCTCACTCGTGCACTTCATGGTGGCGGTGCTGGTGGCCTCGCCGGCCTCGTTGTAGGCGCGGCACGTGTAGTCGCCGCTGTCCTCCGGGTACACCGGCGAGATCTCCAGGATCACGAAGCCGAAGTCGCAGAGCGTGCGGTACCGGCTGGACGCCTTCAGCGGCTTGCCGTTGTGGTACCACTCCGTCTGGGGACGGCGCAGGGCGGGCCCGGTCACGTACAGCTAACGGCTCAGAGCGCGCCCCGAGGGCAAGTCACATAACAACAGGTCCTTCGAGAACAAAATAAAGCGCAAATTGCCTCATTGAGGAAGGATAATATTGCTGGAACCTCGAAAATCATGTTAATGCAGTTGGGCGCTGGCCAAAATGTAACACCAAGAAAACCAGGGGCGGCGCTGACCTATTGAAAGTAGGTAGGCACTTGGTAGGTAAGGCAGAAAAGCTGAATACGGAATAGGTAAACTAGGGGGGAAAAGACAGCGTTATTGCTCAGTCGGGATGAGTCAAGCAGCGACAGCAGCGTCATCTACAAAAACCATTAACTTAACTAGAGCTTCTCAGGCGCATTCACTATTGAAAAAACGGATGTCGTGCCACAACTAGCAAACCGTTACACAGGGCCGCCGCTGATCGATATACCAGTCAACCTTTTCACAGTGAAGCAAAAGCTTAAAGCACTGAACCCCAATAGTGCCCCCGGAGCTGATGACATTCACCCCCGCGTTTTAAGGGAGTTGAGTGGTCCTCTCTCCCTTCCCTTGACATTACTGTTCCGAAAATCGCTTGAAACTGGGTCTATTCCTGCAGACTGGAAGCACGGTAAAGTCATACCAATCTTTAAGAAAGGTGAAAAGGAAGACCCAAGAAACTATAGACCTGTCAGCCTCACATCTGTTCCCTGTAAGATTCTCGAGTCGCTCATTCGTGATTGTTTAATGGACCATTTGCTGTCAAATGACCTGCTGTCCAAGGACCAACATGGCTTCCGCCCGAAGCGATCTTGTGATACGCAACTGCTTGACTCTATAGACTCATGGAGCCGCCTGTTGGAGGACAAGACGGAGGTCGAAGTGATTTACCTTGACTTCCGAAAGGCGTTCGACTCCGTCCCACACAAGAGACTGATAGGCAAGCTGCGCTGTTATGGTATTGGTGACCGAGTGTTGTCTTGGATTGAATCATTCCTGGAAGACAGAATGCAGCAAGTGTCCCTATATGGAAACCTGTCAGACTTGGTCCCTGTGCGCAGTGGTGTGCCCCAAGGCTCAGTGTTGGGCCCATTGCTCTTCTTGCTCTATGTCAATGACTTGCCAGATGCTGTCACTTCAAATGTGCGAATGTTCGCAGATGACACAAAGCTGTTCTCAGGCATCTCTTCTGAACATGATGTGCGGACATTGCAGGCAGACCTGAACGCCCTCGTGGAATGGTCTAGAACTTGGCAGCTGCCATTTAACGAGAATAAGTGCAAAGTGCTTCATGTTGGTGCAGCCAAGGACCACCACTCATTTCAAATGGGGTCGGACAGACTGACAAACACGTCAGTCGAGAGAGACCTGGGTGTGCAGGTCGACTCAATCTTGAAGTTTCGACAGCAAGCGTCTACGGCGGTCTTCAAAGCGTCTCAAGTTCTTGCGGTCATCCGCCGGTCCTTCGCCTTTTTAGATGAATTTACCCTGCCTCTTCTGTTCAAATCTCTCGTGCGGCCTCACCTGGAGTTCAGCAGTCTTGTTTGGGGTCCGTTCAATAGAGCTGATCAGAAGGCAGTCGAAAGGGTTCAAAGAAGAGCCACCCGGTTAGTGGTGAGCATCCGCCACCTTCCATATCCTGAAAGGCTGAAGAGACTGAAGCTCCCGTCACTGTACTATCGGCGTAGACGCATGGATATGATTCACGCATACAAGATGCTGCACGGCCACGTTGATACTGATCCTTCAGAGCTTCTGGCAACGAATCCTGAAAGGCGAACTCGGGGTCACACACTTAAACTACGGAAGCCTCGTGCAACCTGCCGTGCCAGACTGAATTCATTTTCTGTGCGGTGTATTAACGATTGGAACGGGCTTCCAGCAGAAATTGTACATTCGCCCTCAGTCAACGTCTTTAAGAACAGGCTGGATGCACACTGGGAGTCGATCTGGTACTCCACTCCTGTAACAGACTGAGTACTAAGTGAAGTTATGGAAATCGGCGAGAACGGGCCCTACAGGACATCGTGCCTCTTGCCCCGATAACACGAAGATGAAGATGAAGAGCTTACACGTCTGCCGCCAGAGGCAAGCTAGTCTCCCAGTAGGAGTCTAGTTCGTCCAATATAATTTTTAACAAACAATAGAATAACACAACAGACATAACAACGCTAGGTACCGTAAACTAATGATAAAAATTGATTACGTTAAATGTGTTTTATTTTATGATAAATGAACTTAATAAAAAGTTAAGTTTGAAAGTTAGAAGGTAGCACCTAGTCGATGTGCCGACCATCTAAACTTTTTCTACCAAAAGGCTCAATAGCCTCAACATGGCAATAGTTGATAATCTAGTAGGACGAGGTAGGCACAATAAGGCAAAGGTTTTTGTCAAGTTGTTGTTATAACACGATCTTTGTTTGACATTTTTTGAAAAGTTTAGGCAATTCTCTTTCGTTTCAACCCATTTTGAAAAACGAAAAGAAAAAGATCTTTAACAAAAGCAATCAAACAATCAAAAGCCACAGTCTAGTGAGGGTGTAGACACAGGGGAGACGACAAATGACGTAGGCACTGCCTACCTTGCCTATATGGGAGAACCGCCCCTGAAGAAAACCAAGCAATAATTCATACAATACTCCGTAAATCTTCGTTCAATGTTGTTCACCAGGACAAAAATGTATGTTTGATGTCAATGGTGACCATGATTAGACAGGTCTGGCAGTCAGCTCATTGGCTGACCTTCAGCGTCGGGTCGTCGGTGGGGGTGAGGCGCGCCTCGAAGTGGGCGTTCTCGCCCTCGCGCAGGTCGTCCACGTTGTTGAACGGCACGACGAAGCGCGGCGCCTGTTTGGGCTTGTCGGCGTCGCGCGGCTCCTTAATGCGGCGCGAGGCGTCCTCCAGATCGTGGATCTTGTCCAGCGCGCCGCTCATCTCCTGCGGAAGGCGCCGCCAGCGGTCAGCAGCGGCCCGAGCGGGACAGTGCACGGGAGACTGGTCAGCCGAGGCACTGAGAGGGGCGGCCAACGTTCAACGGGCATATGCACCACTGTGATCAAGTCAACGTATGGGACAAACACGACTCACTAACACCGTTTTCTAATAAAGAGCACCTTATCAAAGATGTAGGAGATAAAATATGTACAGCCCTCAGCAGACTGCGTGGTAGGTATTCTTTTTTTCTACAAAACTGGTAATAACTCAAAAGCTATGTTGTCAGTCGGTCGGAACTCACTGCAAATAGATGCGCCATGCTCCACTCCTTCGATTGGGTCTATCACTAGGCAAAGTATACGCCTTGTGTGGCAACAAAATGCAAAAGTTTGTTTTGGGGGCAAATATACACTTTTCGGTTTTGTTGCCAAACTGGATGGAAAATGAATACGATGGTAATGCCAATCTAAGGTGCGGAGTCTCACGCATCTTGCTGATACGATTTCCGAGTGACCGATAGCATAGTATTCGCGTTATTCTCGGTTTTGTCCAAAAAAGAATACCTACCACGCAGTTTGCAGAGGGCTGTACATAGGTGAAAACGCTTACTGTCCACTGCTCAGCCCTTATATCCAGTTACCTGCCGCGTTTCCCAGCTCGGCGACCCTTCTCGCGCAACTCACCTTGGGCATCTGCGGTGTGAGGATGAGGTTGGCCTTGGAGCCGCAGCGCAGCGTCGCCCTGGTGACGTCCGAGCCGACCTTGTTGACGGCGCGGCACTCGTACTCGCCAGAGTCCTCCGCGTAGCAGTACAGGATGTCCAGGATGACGATGCCGAAGTCGTGGAAGGTACGGAAGCGGTGGCCGGTCGGCAGCTTGACGCCGTTCCTGTACCACTCGACCTGGCCGGGGGAGGAGGGAGCGAGGTCAGACTCGACACGGCAGCCAGTCACCATACAGCAACGTTCTGAGAGCGTAGCAGACAGAACATATTGGAGGAGACGGACGATCTTGTTTGATTCAGTTGGACCCGATTTACGAGAGAACAGTGATGTATGTGCGTCAGGCCCAGCCCAGTGTCGCTTCTCCGCAGCCACCCTCCCGCAGGATGTGACCGGCGCGGCGGCGGCAGTGCCCGGCCCTCACCGTGAGGTCGGGGTCGTGCACGGGCGTCAGGCGCGCCTCGAAGTGCGCCGAGTGTCCCTCCTGCATGGTGGCAATGTCGGCGATCTGGGTGACGAATTTGGGCGGCTTGAGGACGGCGGCGGCCGGGGCGCCGGGCCGCTGCGGCGCCATCTCCAGCTCGGAGATCTTCTGCAGCGACTGCGGCTGCAGCGAGTCGACGAACACGCCGCCGCGGCCGACGCAGCCCAGCGTGGCCGTGGTGCTGTCCGAGCCGTACTTGTTGGTGGCGCGGCACGTGTACTCGCCAGAGTCTTCGTCCTGCACATAGGCCAGGTCCATCACCACGAACCCGAAGTCGGAGACGCACTTGATGCGGGACGAGTGGCGCAGCGGCACGCCGTTGTGGAACCACTCCACCTTCATGTTGGGGTCGCCGACCGGCACCAGGTTGCACTCGAAGTGCGCAGAGTCGCCGCCCTTCAGGCCCGTAATGTCCTGAGGGGCGCAAAGACAAACGTCAGGCAATGTCAGCGATAGCTACACATATCATGGCCGAATCTTCGGGCAAATTTACGAATGATCCTGGTGGTAAGTCACCTTGATGGGCGTGATGAACTTTGGCTTCATGCCGCTCTCCTTGTCGACACACTCGAGGTTGACGCTGATCTCGGCCTGGCCCCACTTGTTCGTGGCGCGGCACGTGTAGGTGCCGCTGTCCTCGATCTTCGTGTCCAGGATCTCCAGCACCACCATGGCGAACGCGTGCACCGTCCGCACGCGGTGGCCTGGGGCGGCCGGGGAGGGGCGGGTCAGCGGACGAGCTCATACGACCAGTCAGTTTTAGTGGCACTTTGCGTAAGATCCCCACCGCGAAGAGGAGACACATTAAGGCAGGGCAGCAACGAAGTTTGAGAATTCACACTGGACAGGAGAGCCCGCCACCCGCACTCACTGGCTTCCAGCGGCTTCCCGTTGTAGAACCATTCGACCTTCATGGTCTGGTCTCCGACGGGCGTCAGCGTAGCCTCGAAGTGGGCAACCTCTTTTTCGCTCAGGTTCGACAGGTTCTGGAACTGTGCGCCAGAACATCTGGTCAGATAACGCATGAAACACAGCATATGCATTGGAAGCGAGTCACATTAACTGAGATAACAGCTATCATGAACGCTAGTCTAAAGAAGCTGCACACCACAAAAGACCTTTTAAGTCTGGTCTTCAGTCAGTCAGTCGAGTTAGTCAGGGGCGGACCCCATCCTCTCCGTGACCGGTACCGCACCTGCGAGGTGAACACGGGCGGGTGGCCCTCCTCGTCCGTCAGCGGCGGACCCTCGCCGCGCTTCCTGGCCTCCTCCATCTCCTGGATCGCCTCCAGGCCCATCTCGCCCTTGGGGTGCTGCGTCCAGTCGATCAGACCCGTCTTGCCTGTGTGCCGGACGGGAGGGGGGACTCGGTCAGTCCGGAGACTGAATGGGCCGTCAGCGGGCCAGCCACGGACAGCAGACACGATAGCTATTGCCACCAAACTGCCCGGAATAAACTGCCAATGCGGATAGCAGTTTAGATATGAGCTATGAGGCAGTCCATCCGTCCACAGTACACAGCACTGTGTAGTAACTAGCTGGTCACTGATAGCGCAAGCGGTACCTATCCAGGACAGTAGCCGTCCCCCCCCCGTATCCGCGGCGGTGCCGGCCGCTCACCCTTGCAGGTGACTGTGGTGGTGGTGAACGCCTCGCCGGCCTGGTTCCACGCGCGGCACGTGTAGATGCCCTGGTCGCGCGGGTACACGTCCGTCAGGTCCAGCTGCACGAACCCAAAGTCGTTTGACACCTTGAACCGCGTGGCTGGAACGGACGGAGCGGTCAGGTGAGTGTGGCCCGCCCGCGGAACCCCACGCCAACACGCCACCCAAAATACCCGGCTGCCGAGCCTTGGCAGCCTGTGCATCAAGTGAACATCAAGCTGAGACTCTGTCAGGGCGCTCACCGTGGGAGAGCGGCTTGCCGTTGAAGAACCACTCGACGTTCAGTTTGGGGTCCTCCTTGGGCTCGACGTTGCACTGCAGGTGGAGCGGCTCGGTCTCACCGAGCTCGAACTCGGGCTGCAGCGGCACGATGAACCACGGCTTCTGGAAGGCGCGGTCCGGCTGGGCGGCGTCGTGCGGCGCCTGCTTGCTGGCCATCAGCGCGTCCACCTCCTCGACCTTCTCGAGGCCGCGCGGGCCCATCGGGTGCACCGTGTCCAGGTAGATGTTGGCCTTGCCTGCCGGGGACGGACGGGTGCGTCAGGGTGCAGCGTGAGCACCGACGGGGGAAAATACAAACAGCGAGAAACAGGCTCACATTCAAACGATCCCCCGGGCCGATAGTGCTGTATCGCGCTGTCGCGTTATCACACACTCACTCTTGACTTTGAGCGTGCCCGAGGTCTGCGCGGTGCCCTTGCTGTTGGTGGCCTTGCAGACGAGCAGGCCGGCGTCGTCCGGCTGGCAGCCGGCGATATCCAGCGTCACGAAGCCGAAGTCGTAGTTGGACGTGTAGCGGGAGCCGGTCCTCATCGGCTGCCCGTTCCAGAACCACTCTGCGGAGCGGTGACACGTCCTTCAGTTGGTGAGACTATATCGCAATCATGTCAACATCTGAGATGAAAATAGTTCACTTGATATACTTCAATATAATACACCCAGAAATAACCAAACAGCTGAACCAGATATCGCCATCAGGATATGTTTACCACTGGACGCCACACCACTACCACATATACCAAATGACGCCCGACCGGGCCACCCACCGATGGTCATGGTGGGGTCCTTGGCCGGCTCCACCTTGCACTCGAAGTGGGCCTTGTCGTTCTCGTTGCACTCGACGTTGTTGAGGTGCGAGATGAACACGGGGATGTCGTAGACGGGCTCGGGCCGCTCGGTGTCGGCCGGCGCCGGGCCCATCTCTAGCTGGGCGATCGCCGGCAGCGCCTCGGGCCGCTGCGACTGGCCCAGCAGCCAGTGCTTGTCTGAGGTCAGAGGTCACAGGTCAGAGGTCAGGGTCAGGGTTGGGGGGGGGGGGGGCTGCGACTGGCCCAGCAGCCAGTGCTTGTCTGAGGTCAGACCAGTAGTGGAATCAGGGATGGGTGGGATGGAAATTCAGTGTTCAAATCCAAAGCATGACTGATAATAGTAGCCTATGTCCAATCAAATCAGTCGGAGCAAAAAAGACCTTTGGTTACAAATGAAAAACTCCTATCTGATCTCTCATCACTTTACACCACTGTCTAGCCGGCCATCAGTCCTACAGTCCCCGCGGTCGGTAGTCTCACCTTCCACCTTCAGCGTGCACGTGGAGACGGCCTCGCCCATCCTGTTGACGGCGCGGCACGTGTAGATGCCCGAGTCGTCGCCCCGCAGACTCATAATGTCCAGCGTCACCAGTCCAAAGTCGAACGCCGTGCGCAGACGGGTGCCTGGGGAACGGGCGACAGCACAATCAGCACAGGTGAGCTGCAAGGAAACCAGACAGATAATTCGGAAATAACATTACCAGCACCAGCAATACCGAAATTATCTATCGCCTGACTACCCACCGCTTTTGATGCTATTTTTCCTGATCCTGTCAGAACTCCCATCCAGTTTCACCAGTTGTCCCAGGTCACCCACACACCCTTCACTATCCAACAGACCCACTCCATCCCCACTGCATGATTAACTCCTCACAGACTGCCCCCCCCCCCCCGCCACGTCGACTCTCCGCTCCCCACCGACACCCCTCCCTCCCCGTCTCCGCACTGACCGGTCATGAGCGGCTCGCCGTTCTTGCTCCACTCGACGCGCAGGTTGGGGTCGGTCTTGGGCTCGACGGTGGCCTCCAGGTGGACGCTCTGCTGCTCGGTGAGCCGGTCGTAGCTCTGCAGGTGCGTGGTGAACACGGGCGGCTGCTGCGGTCGCTCCTCCGCGAACTGCTCCGGCACCCGGTTCATCTCGGCCTCCTTCAGCTGGATCTTGTCCCAGGCAGACGCGTGGATCGCGTCGCCCAGAATGCTGCTGCGGTCTGCCGGACGGACGGTGGCGAACGTTCGGCGCGAGGTTTTTGCTTCATGCGTCGTACAATGTTGCCCATTACGTGTAAAATTTGGTAGACTTAAACACACAAGATGCAGCACCTTTCGGTCCAGCTAAATCCAATCTTTTGGAAAATTATCGCTTACGGTTGAGTTTACTGTCAAAGATTAGAAACATGTTTTAAATCACCGCTCCATAATTCTGACCGACATCTCTGTCTCATGGGCTCGGGCTGCGCCATCCGGCCCGTCCAGGCCGCCCCAGAGACAGGGTTGAAGGCCACCTCACCCAGGACCGGTCCTCGCCTGCCCGTTCCGACGTACCGTGCACGTGGATGGAGGCGGATGTGACGGCCTCGCCGGCCAGGTTGGTGGCGCGGCACATGTAGACGCCCGCGTCCTCCGGCACCACAGACATCAGGTCCAGCGTCACGAACCCGAAGTCGTGCGTCTCTTTGATGCGGGAGCCTGTCGGGGGCGGTAAAGACCGAGATGGTCAGAGGCTGGGACCTGAGACATATGCAACGGCCAGAGGATATAGCTGTGGACATAATACTGAATCGCCCATTTGTTTTTTTCTGAGATATTGTCTGCACATTATTTCGAAATCAGGTACAACAAAAACATCCACTTTTTACGACCATCGCAACAAAATGGATAACGCCGAGACCGACAGCGTACCGAGTTTGAGCTCCTTGCCGTTGCAGAACCACTCAAACTTGAGGTTGGGGTCTCCGACGGGCACGCAGCGCGCCTCGAAGTGCGCGTGCTGCATCTCGATAATATCGGCCGGCCCGGTGAGCGGCATGGTGAAGACGGGCTTCTCGAAGTGCTGCACCGTCTCGGGCCGCTGCTCCGGCACCCGCTCCTCCAGAGCCTTCAGCTTGGGCATCGAGGCCGGGTGCTGCGTGTCCAGGATGATGCTCGCCTCCGCTGCGGGGAGATGCAGAGCGGGGTGTTAGTGGTTTGTGGGTGGTCGGGTACTCATGGCATTTAGGGGGAGGTAGGGAGAAATTACGCTATATTTGCAACCTTTTCCATTATCCTAATGCCTACTCAGACTTCGAATACACGTCATGTTTCCCAACATACCCCTCTACCTTTCGAGACACCCATTTGAGCCCTCACCCGCAATGACAGTTATTATTCAGGCCGATCGCCGATCGGCTACCAGTAATAGCCGGTCCATATCAGCAGCCGCTCACAAAGGGCTGCGCACCCGGCCAGAATCACAGCGGTGCGGACAGAGTTCAGACTCAGAGCAGTGCGGACAGAGGTCAGACTCACAGCGGGTGCGGACAGAGTTCACACTCTAGAGCAGTGCGGACAGAGATCACACTCACAGCGAATGCGGACCGAGGCGGTGGTGACGGCCTCTCCGAGGTCGTTCCTGGCGCGGCACGAGTAGACGCCCTCGTCCTCGGGCCGCAGACCGGCAATGTCCAGCGCCACGTAGCCAAAGTCGTGCGTCGGCTTGAAACGGGAGCCTGGAAACAGCCGACCGAGCAACTGTGCGTAAGCCACATAGGCAGCCTTACGCAGTATTTTTCTGACGGAACTACTTATTATCTGACGCTGAGGACTAACAGGCAGTATTTAACAGGCTTGAAGTGACAAACAGCTCCCATGGTCATTAAATATGGCCGTATGAGCTCATTCTGCCCCTGATTCCAGATTTGCTCCACAGAATTGGCCGACCTTATCCTCCCGAATATCCAATATCCCCGTCCTCTCCGGCGGCCGACTCACCGAGCTGGAGCGGCTGCTCGTTCCTGAACCAGTCCACCGTCAGCCGGGGGTCGCCCACGGGGATGAGGCGCGCCTCCAGGTGCACCGCCTGGCCCTCGCTGACATGGTCCACGTTCTGCAGCGGCTGCGTGAACATGGGCTTCTGGTAGGTGACCACCTCCTCGGGCCGCTCCTGGGGCGCCTTCTGCTCGAGCGCGCGGATCTTCTCCAGACCCTCGGGCCGCTGAGACGCCAGGATGATGTTGTCCTTGCCTGGAGGAGAAACACACCCTAAGGAGTGAACAAACGTCCTTTGTTGTCGATTGTAGCTGGTGCGCACCTTCACCACCTCTAACGCTCCTATGCTTCCAATAATAAAGGCCGCTATCCTTTTTGGTTACCTATCGAAAATGTCTGCATGGAATTTAGAGACGTCAACCGTTAAGTAGCTCACAAATTTAGCAGCTGAAATGCTGCAAAACTATCTTGTGGCACTACTAACTTACTGGAGTTGGGCGCGTCCCACCACCGACTTGTACCCACCGAGAACCTCTATGTCCATGCTGGAGGTGGCCTCGCCCATCTTGTTGACGGCCTTGCACGTGTAGTGGCCCTGGTCCTCGGGCACCAGGTCCTTGATGTCCAGCGACACGTAGCCAAAGTCGAACGTGGTGTGGAAGCGCGAGGCAGACTGTAGCGGCTTGCCGTTGTGGAACCACTCGACTCGCAGGTCCGAGTCGTGGATGGGCTCGATGCGACCCTCGATGTGGGCGGCGCCACGCTCCGCCAGCTGGGTGGGGCCCTGTGAGACGGCATATACCACACAGGGGTCAGCAGACTTGCCGAAAAAAAATAAGGAAGGTAGCGAAAACAAAAATAAAGGACAATTTCCCGTGCGCCAGTAACAGAGTTACGCTCCATGACAGTTCTCCTGCTAGTCAGGGCAGTATGGTAACCACTAACCGGCCTTAATTTACTACGTCGTATGGCCAGCGAATTTGTCAGAGAATGGACAAATAAGTACGAAGAGTACCCCCCCCCCCAAGTACGAAGAATGGGAGCCAACGCCATGGCCCATTTTGACGACATAATATCGCGACTGACCCGGAGCTCCTGGACGAAGCGCGGCTTCTCCTTGGGCGCCTCGACTTCGACGGCCCGCTCTGGCTGGCGGCTCTCCAGGTCACGGATCTTCTCCAGGCCCTGCGGGTGCTGCGTGTCCAGATAGATGGAGCGCCGCTCTGTGGGGGCAAACTGGTCAGTGACGACCTAGACGTGAGCACGCGGCAAGACGCTCATTATGTCTAGGGCCTAGACTCTACATAGGGATGGGAGGTGGCGAAAACAAATGAATAACGAACAGTGTGACGTGCATACTGCATATCCACCCGATCTGAGCTAGCTCTCACATGAATAATGATTTAACACGTGTGAATGCAAGTAAAGTCCCCGTTTTCTGCAGCCAGCCGACAATTTTATACAGGTGACAGCCAATAGGGCACTCCTGACGAGTTACGGGACGCGCGACTCGCGGATACAGATGACAGCGCCCTGGCGCCGACGGTCGCCGACTTCCTTCACGTTTTTCTCTGGCGGTGCCGCCTTACCTCCGACCTTGATGGTGCACGTGTTGACGGCCTCGCCGACCTCGTTGGTGGCCTTGCACATGTAGGTGCCCGAGTCCTCCGGGTAGCTGTACAGAATGTCCAGCGCCACATAGCCGAAGTCGTGGGTGGTGCGGAATCTGCACACACACCGCGCGGAGTCAGACAGGCAGATAACCTCTCATGAACGATAAACAGGGCCATCCACTGGGGTGGTAGACTGTGCCGCAGTACAGCTGTGCGCTGCGGGACAGCGGGTCGTACCGGCAGTTGACGATCACCAGGGGCCGTATTCACGTCGATCATTTTCGTAAGAATTTTCTTACGTTTGACCTACTTCTTAAGTATTTTTTTTTTAATCACGTGAACTCCGTCGAAAAAAAACTTGAAAAGTGTCGACGTGAATACGAAACTGTGCCTACTTACGAAAGCAAATAGACTTACGAAGTCGACGTGAATACGGCCCTAGGTATTTTTAATGCGGCGCAGCGTGAGGGGACAATTGTGTCATTTACCGTGATGAAGCTGTCCCCGTAGCAAAGTTCCTCCCCGGTCGGGCTGGCGGTGTGTTCTCACCTGTGGCCGGTCTTGATCTCGCGTCCGTTGACGAACCACTCGACCTTGAGCTTGGGGTCGTTGACCGGCTCCAGGCGACACTCGAGGTGGGCGTGCTCGCCCTCGCGCAGGTTCTCCAGACTGGAACGGAGCGGCACCGCCCGGTCAGCACCCAGGCGCCGCGCCGGCCGGCCACGGAGCCGCGCTCAGAGGCACCGAAATAGCGGACCCCGCGCCGTGCCGGCAGCCGTTGGGAGTTCATGGCTGTGACGAAGTGCCGCGCCGGCTCGCGGCTCTGAGAGACTGCCAAGCCGCTGCCCGCTGCGGGAGGGATAACTGCTCCCTGGAACCGGGCTAAGACCAACTCCACCGACCCCAGGAAGGCACGAGAAAACCAGATGGCTAGCTACAAGGTATGACCCGACCAGAGTCTCAGAGTTCGTGTTATAGGGTTGGTAGCGATTAAACGGTAACAAAATTGTAATGGCTAAAGAAGGGGATGTTTACTGCATGTGCGATGATCATCTTCGGCGATTTTGACCCAGCAATCTTATTTTGTCCACAATCTTACTTCTTCAGCGGCGTGACAAAGACGGGTTTCTGGGCGACCGGCAGGGGCTCCTCCTTCCTGGCCGGCGCTGCCGACTCCAGCGTCTTGATCTTCTCCAGGCGGGCGGCGTCCAGCGTGTCCAGGTACAGACCCTGCTTGCCTGGAACACAAGCACGGGGGTGAACCGCCGCTCCGGGGCGTGGTCAGTCTGCGACACGCCGATACCTGCAGCTAGACTTTGGTAGGTAAATACCGTATGGATGTTGAACTCCATTTCGCTGGGCTTTCCCCGTGACATTGGACAGGGGTCGGGAGCCTGGCCCAGAAAGGCATTGTCAGAGGAGGGGCCGTAGTCCCACCTCGCAGATAAACGGCCCAGCGCGGCTGAACTCTTGAATAGGGTAGAAGTCCCACTCGCCGGATGTCGCACTTCTGCCGTCATGGCCAGCGAACTGATGGAGCCAGTAACGCAGTCCGACCCAGACAAGCTCACCACACTCGCACCGACCCGGGCCGGACCGACTCTCGTCCCGGAGCGCCAGCCACCGCGGCCCTGACCCCACATCGACCGGTGATCGTGTGACCTTTGGGGTCACCAATGAGCGAACGCGCCGCACGACGTGGCCGAGCGCCCGCAGAGAAGGCTGCGCGGCGCAGCGTAGCCCGGACGGCCTGGCGGCTGACATAGGCGGCGGAACTTGGAGGGCACCGGGGTTTCGTGCCCCCCTCTGATTTTGACATTTTAACATTATCCCATATGGGCGTTGCATGGAAAGAATGGGACCAAAAGTCGGCAGTGCCCCCCCCCCTAATTGAAGGTGCTCCGCCGCTACCGGCGGCTGATACAAGATGTCAAATCGGACCAATAATGCACTTTTACCTGATGTTTGAATTGAACGAACGACTTTCGAGCTACATACTAGCAGCATTTTCGCTATGCCGTGTTGCGTAACCTTATGTTTCCGCTCAGCCCTGCAGAGCGGCGCAGTTTTGTTCGCCATCTATTTTCTGCCGGTTTCGTTCTCCGACGTTTGTGTCGGTTTGGCTGGGCGGTATTTCGGTCGGTTTGGGTGATGCCGCCGCTGAGGGACGCCCCCTCACCCCGGACGCCTGGGGGTGACTCCACCGGCGCGGAATGCCGGAGTTTGGCAGCCGCCGACCGGAGCTGCCGCAGCTCCCCGTCAGAGGAGTGCGGGGGACGGCGATCCACCATCCGACTGGCGGCCGCTGGCACCAGAACACACGTGTTGGCAGAACAAAAGAAGCGGCGGTGACACACGACGGTCATCTCGCCAGCCGCAGCGTGGTCAAAGGAGATCCGTGGAGCAGGTGGGCGGGAGTTCGACAAAGGAACGGACGCACCGCATATAACCCGAGTGTAACGAACCGGTAGTTACGGCAGGAGGACTGACCGGCCACACAGACTACACAGAGGGCCGTCAGGGCGCGTCCGGCCGGCCCACCGACAGTGACGGCAGGCGTCCGTCCCGCCCCCGCGGTCCGCCACGCTCAGCTCCCATCCCGCCCGCTCACATACAATCCCCGGCTGTCTGGCGGCCATACACAAACAGCGGCTCCGTTTGGGAGACGGGTCCGACCCCGGCGACCGGGTCACGGCGGCCGGGCAGGGGGCCAGCGACACGGCACCAACACAGGTGAGCCTGTGCAAACACTGCCGGACGGGCTTAACGGCCGAACCGGAGCGGCGCTGCGGCCTCTCGTCCGACAGCCTGAGCCCTACCGGTGGTTTATCGCTGCGGAGACGCGGCCCACGCGCGAGCCGTGACCCGTCTATCTCGCCCTGTTCCATAAGTGTGGGGATGAGCTCATCCGAACAGTGGGCCTCTGCGGCCGGCGCTAATGGGGGCGTCCTGTTAGCCCGTCAGACCTGTCACCAGTTGAAAGTGCCCTCCGGCGGGCTGAGTCAGGATGCTGGACAGGTGTTGCGTGGCCGAACAGCGGTGTCACCCCCCCCCCCATTGGCTGGGGAGGGGTCGACTTTTCGCAGTAGCTGTCGACTTTTCGCAGTAGCTCAAAAACTAATCACGCCATCGTCCTAAAGCTAACTATAGCTTTTGCTTTAAGTTGTTATCGTTTGGGCATTATCTGAATTTGTCAATGTTTCTTTAAGTTAGGACTGTGACGTCACTTCAGGCCAGTTTCGACCGAAAAGTAGCATAAATTGAATCAACAGGCGTAAGTACCTATCTATTTCATTACAGCTTTGTAGATAAAAAACTTAGACGTCAACTATAATGTTTTTCATGATGACTATCTCAATTTTTTTCTTCAAAAACTTAGCTTTGTTAAAAACTTGCCTAAAAAGCTTGATTTTTATTAAGTCCGTGTGTATTATCAAGTTTTTCATCTTTGCGATGAGTTAGGTAGGGTATACCTAATATATTACTCGTCATCGCCCTCGATGGCAGACTCGGCAGAACTGCCAGCTCGCGGTCCTGCCCCCCGTCAGCACGCCGCGGGCGGCGGCGGAGTGTCCTGCCGATGCGTCACAGCCGTCCGGGACCGGTTGGCCCGTCTGACGCTCCGACAGGTGACGGCCGGCCGATCGGACGGCGCGGCGGGCGGCGCGGTGACGGGCCACGTCAGTGCCGGTCTGGCCGCCGCGCCGGCCACAGACCCGCCGACGCCGGGTCCCGACACCCCGGAGGGCGGCGCCGCCCACAGCGACCGGGGCCACCGGATACCCAGGAAACACTGCAGGCCGCCCGAGAGGCGTCACCAACCAATGTGTCTCTCACTGTATAGCGTCTAACATGGGAGCACTGCTGTGACAAAACTATCTCCTACCCACCTCAATTCTACCGTTTGTTCCTAGATGGCACTAGTGGTAAGCGCCTGAATACATACTGTGCCGCACTACAGGGTCCGAAGAAACTGCGGAAAGTGGGCGTGGGAAGACTCAAATGTGATCAATTTGTATACCTTCTTATTAACGTACGTAGGACGGATATTACGGTTCCCTGACGGCTGAACATTTGTGTCGCGCTTGCTCGCCTAGTGCCTTATGTATATACCCACATGTTTACCAATGTAGTGGCTGTGCTGGTTGGAGTGTTGAAGCAAACTCACATATGTAACACACGCCTTTATTCATAGCAAACCCAAATCAGAGAAATACGGAGTGAAAATTCCCACAAGCCACTTAAAGTTAAACAATCATTCTACGTGAGCCATGCATACCTACAATAAATCGGTATTTCGGCTACTTGCCGGAAAAGCAAGCTCGCGAGTGAACCACCTGAGCGCAGTAGCAGTTGGGCTCGAAATGCTCTCCCATGGGAAGAAGGCAGTTAAAAGCTGAAAACAAAACAATGCCATTATCACAACCCTAGCTTCAAAAATATAACTGCAAATGTTTCTTGGCCACATCAACAAGACATAAGCCGGAAAATAAGTTACGCGCCCACACTTGATACATTTATTCTCACGAAAACGAAAAACAATTTGTCAAACAAGTTCCCTTAAGCACGAAAAACTACATAAAACTAAAAGATTCGTCGTTCGGAAAACAGCGCGTTATGTGAAAAGGAAACTTACAGTGACACAATAAGGATAACGTTTATAACCCACAGTAAAGGTAACAGAGCTGACATTCATCTACAAGAGCTGTCGAAAAGCCCGTGCAAAATAGCAAGCCCAAGCTACATCCAATTTTACCAAACGGGTGTCATGCACGGCGAAAACAAACTGTTAAGAGAACCATGCTTAACTTAGCACGAAGGGGACAAATAAGCACATCGGGCAGAACAGCTATTCAAGGTTCAGCTGGCGAAACAAACATGAGGCCCAACTGATCGTCGAAATTTCCAGAAATGATAGAACATATTATTGCTAAAGGCCGTTAGCTGTTCCAAACGTCCGCGGCCCAAACAAGTTCACTCAGACCGCGGGCCACCAGCGAAGGGCAGGGAGCTCGACCTCGGCGGTACCGTTCTGCCGCGCCCTCGGTATGCCCACTTTGACCTCTGTCACGGTCGGCGTGTCCGACATTCCCGAGAGCGATGACGCCCGCTGGCAGCTCATCGTGGCGTCAGCGCGGCCGACGACCCCTCGGGTGAGGCGGACGACATCAGGTGCTGTTGGCCGCCCCGGCCGGCGGCTGCGGGGAGTAGAGGGCGGCCAGCGCGGCCGCCTGCGGTCCGCCCACCACCGGACAGTGGAACGCTGGCTGCTGGGGGTGCAGCTCCGGCCAGAGGGCCGCCGGCCGGAGCCCCTCTGCGCTCTGGCCGCCGGCCGGGCGCACCGGGCGGCCCCAGTCCGAGCTGAGCCACCAGTCGGCGCTCGGCGGCTGGCCCCAGTCGAGCCCGGGCCAGGCCGCCACGGAGTGTCGCCGGTCGGCGGACGTCTCTCGGAGGGGCGGGCGCCGCGCCGGGAACGGTGACAGCCGCACGGGGATGATGTGCTCGCGCCGCTGCTGGGACGGCCGGGCGCGGCTCTCCTGAGCGGTTCGGGTGTGGGAGGCGCTCGGGGCGGCCGACTCTGGGACCAGACGTATGGGGATCACATGCTCCCGGGGAGTGCGGCACCGCTCTTCTACAGAGCACGCCCGCTGTATGGAGGCCGAGACACGCTCCGGAGCAGCTGCAGAGCCAGCACGTGGAGGGATCATCGTGGGCTTGATGGTCTCTCCAAAAACGGGAGTTGTGGTACGTGGTTGTACTTGCGAGTTTCCTCCCAAGATTTGCTTCCGTGATGTTTCGTGTGTTTCGGACATTGACTGGAAACATTTCTCTTCCGTTGTTGTTGTAGAGCTCATTGAAGGAGAGCGCGTGAATGACTGTTGATACGACTGGCTGCTCTTTTCGGCAACATCAGTCTCCCGTGTTCCTGACTTTGTTTCCTCAGACGTCTTGGACCTATGGAACGTTTCTTGCCGATCAACAACTGGCTGTGAAGGTGATTGTACAGTTGGGGCGATGAAGATTCCCGAGTTTCTCTGACGCTCAGATCCTTCTCTCGACTTTCCTGTCATTAACTGCTTAAGTCCCTGTTCGAGGTAACCTGCTCCAACTTCCTTTGGTATTACCGATTGTGATCCATTAGACAGATTTGTGGTGCTGAAAGGAAATCCGCACGATGTCGACCTTGACGTCGGCATGGTAACATATCCTGAGGTCTCCTTCGTCTCCGACATGCTCACGGTTGCTTGCTCGTCAAGAGTTGTGAATGTGACTCCACCTGGCGTCTTTGACACCGACTGTTGGTGACTGCGTTGCGCCTTCTCCGCGGTCGCCGAGTCCCGCTGGCCGGTTTCCGTCTTCTCTGAGATCTTTGAGTGACTGTACGTCTCCTGTCGGTCTGCACATGGAGAGTGGGCGCTGATGCCGCGGGTAACAGCTCCAGGAACGATAGAGGTTGGAAATTTCGGAAGGCTAGTTACAGTGTTTGCTCCCGGTTTAGTGACTTCCTCCTCTATAAGTTTGGGTTGCTGCTGAGACTGCAAGCTTGATGTGTCCGACATTTGATTTGAAGCAGCATCGAAAGCCACTCCTGCCCTTGAAGCCTGTTCCGACCACTGAGGCACACCGTTTGATTTTGAGGCCGGCTCCTGAAGTGTGGGACGCCACTGTGGTGAAGGTCCGTAGGTCACCTCCTTCGACTGCGACACCGTGCGGGTCGACTGCTCCTCTACCGTGGTCGATGACGAGCCCGTCGGGGTTCTGGACACGGCGTGCTGAACAGTCTGTTTCCGCGTCTCCTCCGACTCGGCCTCCCGCTGGCCCGCCTCTGTCCTCTCGGACACCTGCGACCTGCTCACGGTCTCCTGTTGGTCCACATACGGCGTCGCCGTGATTCCTGCTGATATGAACGGTGCCGTCGGCGCCCGCGATGAATTTTCCTCGCGCGATGGCGGCTGGCCCACCGACTGACCGCGTCCCTCACTTGATGCTGGAGGCGCCCGTCTCCTCTCTTCGGTCTCCGGCTTGATGGTTTTGCTGAACTGCTCTGAAGCAGCCTCGCCAGTAGACGCAGTTTGAGTTCCACGTATGTCAGAAATCCTTCCTGCAAACGACCCGCGTTGAATAGTTTCTTGGGACGGCAAAGAGTTAGCCCGGTGCAAACCACCCGACTTCGGCCCAGTCTTGGAGCCGGGAAAGGGGGCAGCCGAGACGGGGCCATAGTCAGACATCCGTCTGTTAGCCTCAGAGGACTTCATACTTGTTTGGGACTGTTTCATGTTGGTGACGTTACAAGTTGTTTGTGCGACTGGGTGCTCTTGACTGGGGCATATTCCTGAAGCTGAGGTCAGGGCTGTGCTGAGAGAGCTCGTCGAAGAGCATGTTGAGCTGAGAGCGGGGAACGGGGACGGTTTCGATTCACCGGAGGCGGAGGAGACAGCGGATAGTGCCGTCTGACCTCTGGTCTTCACTGGGACAGGCGGTTTCACCGGTGCCCACGATTTTGGTGTAAAACAAGCCGGAGGGTTCGCCTTGATGGACGTTTGAGACGCCGACTGGGAGTCGCGGAGGCCAGTAGTTGCCGTGAAAATATCTGTCCCTGATACGCTGGTTTGGCCAAGTGGCGTCTTATTTTCGTTGTTCATCTGCTGGACCGGTGGAAAGGGCGCTCCTGACATGTCCGACTGAAAGAAACTCAGACCTGTCTTAAAGTCAACCTTTGTAGTAGGCGTTTTACTTTCCCTCAAACTAGAAGGTACAACTTTGGGTATCGTCTCAGTTGGTTCGGGTGTTCGCTGGTCTCGCGATTCTGACGTTAATGCTTCGCCCATTAAAAATGCAGGGCGCACCGAAGCATTCACGGATTTGCTGTTCATTTGAATCATTTCTGTCGGCACGGAGGATAAACGTCTCCCATCGTAACCATCCGTCGTTTTGCGCTCATATGTTTGGCGGCAAGTGCTTGCGCTTTCTGATATTTGAGAACCGTTGCCTTGCTTTTCCACGTTGGCTAGTGGATTGCTGATGTCACGAGGTTCTTGTACCCGATTCAACACATTCGAACCGGATTCGTTCTCCTTTCTGGACACATCTGAAGGTAGGTTCAAGGTATTCGCTGGCGGCACATCGTTCCAAGAAAATAGGTACTTGGATATGGACTGGAGGAACGTGTTGGCCGGAGAGCCGTCTTGCTTGGTGAGGGTATTCTGAGGGGGAGTCGATCCGGGAGCTCGACATGGTGGCTGCGTGGATGTCTCAAGTGAATTACAGGACGTCTCGTGCGACTTTTTCTCCACAGTCTCCGAGACTGTACAGGTTGGAGTCTGTGAAACTGAAAATTGGACGGCATCGCTCTTCTTCTCCTGCCGTTCAGTTTCTTGTCGACCAGTCTGGGTTTCTTCAGCTGTCTTAGAATGGCTGATAGTGTCCTGTTTGTCAACGAAGGGTTTCGTTGACAGCTGAGTTCCAAGCTCCAGCGTCACGTTGGGCTTAAATTCGGCCATCCCAGACATCTTCAACTGTGCCAGGCCTGGGTTTAACTTCTGAGCTTGGCTCAGTGTTTGTCCATTCGCTCCTAGGGCCAGCCCCGAAACCGCAGTGGTCGCCTGTCGCTCGGAACCGTTTACGCCGCTCGAGAACAATCCGTTGTGTGAGAACGGACTGGACGCCAGCTGTTCAGTGACCGGCTGATGGAGCCGAGAGGTTTCCAGCGTCTTGGACGTGACCTCACTGGTCACCTCCTCCACCGTGGAGGTGGAGACCCCGTTCGGTGTCCTGGTCTCCTCCTTTTGCACCGCGCGGGACTGCTTCTCGGCGCCTTCCGACTCGCGGTGTCCGTTCTCGGTTCTGTCTGAGGCCTTCCAGCGGCTGGCCGTCTCCTGTCGGTCGACGTACGGTTCGGATGACATCCCCAGTACTGATGAGCTGAGGGGAGGCAGTTCGGGCACCCGCTCCTTCGCCACCGGCACATCCTGTCCGCTAAGTTTGCAGCTGTCCATCATCACTCGATTACAAACCAGCCTGAGCGGTGGCGACGTCGGCAGCGATAGATCAGATTCGCGTCAATCTCGGTCCGTATTTCACCAGACTGTCAGCTCTTGACGCGTCAGTATTGACTGACGACTCGAAGGTATCACACATCACAATTTACAACACAAATTATCTGCTCCTCAATCATTCATTCAGCAGCGATTCTAGGGTTCATAGCAGTGCTACGCTTTTGACCCTTTCAGAGCTTGAATGATTTCACTTTAAAGAATAGCACGGAGTCGTTCGCTGTGTCGTTCGTATGGTCGTTACTTGCCGGCGTGCCACTCGGACCCGCGGCGAGGCTCATGCTCCGGGTCGGCAGCAGACTCGCCGCTTCCACCGACAGCGCGCCACTGAGCGCCGTCCTTCCCCGGCCGGTGATCTGCGCCGCCGTATTTTTGGCCGCGCGCGGGGGTGAACTCGGCTACCGGCGGGGCGCGACCTTCGAGGCGCGGCGCTGGGATGATGTAGAAGGTCCGAGAGGGACCGGGCGTCGACAGCGCCGTCCGACCGATGTATTTACATACACAGTGAGCGAGAGGTCGGCACTATTTTCAGTGGCGCCGGAGCAGGTCTCCCGCTCAGACAGGTTGAGGGATGTCATTTCTCGGATCGCGGTTCGCCGCTTATCTCGTCATACCCAGCTCAGCGGCGCCGAGTCGCGGCCGGCGTGGACAAATAAACACCCGTCTAAAAACGGACCGGCCAGAGAGCTGACGTGCTAACAAATGCAGGCCTAGAGGCGCATTATTCATCCATAACCCTTTGTTCTCGTTATACATGTGACCTACGTAACAAACAAGTTTATAAGTACGTCACTTGCCTCTAAAAAACGAAAGCCTGTGTATTTGCATAAGGCCCACTGGACTCATCTGATCACGAGCTCAAGCTCATAAGATTATGATCATAATTCGTGCTAATCGTGCATGAATTCATATATGCACGTACGTTGACCTAAAGTGGGGAGGCTTTGACCCGCGCCCCGCTGGGGGGTGTTTGAACGCCCACTTGAGGTTTTTCGTGAATAGCTCAAGAACGGTGGAAGTTCAGACCAAGGTCACTCAAGGTCATGCCCCTGAGGCATCTCAGGTCACGAATGCAATAGCTTGATATAGGCATGCTAGAGCGATGAAAACGCCTTAGATGTGTTCAGCTCGACGATACAAATCGACTGATATGCAGCATGGCCTTTTCCGGTCAGTCATGACCTTAACCTGAGGTCAAACTTAAAAGTTGACCTTTCATGGTCAAATTATAGTTCATTCGATGCATCTTGACGAGAGGAACACGATGCCGCTAAAAGTAATCTCGTGTAAGTTTTAGCCAAAAGTTACTGCAGAAAAACTGTTCCCGCAAAACTCGTCCATTTTGGCAGTTTTTTGCCAATTAGAGGCAAAACCGTTAGCGTTAGTTCAAATCTGAGGGAAATGCTCAGAAAGAGCGTTAATAGGGCTATCGAATGCGCTATTCCGGGGCGCTGTAGCTCTGATTGTTCCAGAGCTCTGCGTCGGCTCGTTTGACATTGTCGACATTCGACCTGAAAATCGGCGAATCCAAGACCCGCAGCGGGGC